ATGGCTTCATTGAGCCAAAAATTGCCTGCCTGGCATCTGCTTTGAGAACGGAAAAATACAGCTTATGCGTGATGAGATGGATGTCGGTTAGTATATACATTACAGAGAAGCTATTAATGGTACACGGCTGAGTCGATATTCAATACAGCGCCTATAATTATTGACACAAACTTACGGCATCTGAATATGAAGTGGAACAACAACGGTTCGCTTCTTGCTGTGGCAGGTGTGCAGTATGCACGCAATGCACAAGGGGAGGAGAAAGAAATCAATGTGGTTCAGTTTTATGATCCGTATGGTCAGGTGCGGGAACACCTGCTTTCGATTGATTCTGAAAAAAACTACTCACTTTCAAAACGCACAATTAGTTTTTGCGCCTGCTAAAAGTCCCAGGAAAGCGCATAAACGCGTTATCGTGGGAGTACAGTGGACTCCGCATTGCACTTGCTGTCGATTCTTTCATTTACTTCGCAAACGTTCGGCCGGATTACAAATGGACGTTTTTTGCCGGGGATGTTCTGGCATACACGTATCATCGCCCTGACAGGACCGAAAGTGCGCTCACTTTCTGGAATACGAAAACAAACGAAAAATACACAAAGTAGGGAGCGACACTCGTTTGAATTGACGGAGCTCAGTGTATATATGCTCACCCAATTTGAACAGACCTGTAAGCAAGCTTCTCCTAATGACTTCATTTGGAGAGCACAGCTTACTCGTGACGAAGCTGGACGAGGAAGGCACAGACCAGTAAGGGCTTCATCGCGTATTACTCTCATCACAGTCCGCACTCTTACACCAATGTTATGGTCAGGTACATACTGACTGTGGTGAACGCAATTGGGACGCCGCAGGAAAGCAAATATATCGAATTCGAGCCTAAGTTTGCCGCAATCACCAAGCATCACGTCTTTGTGGCATCCTCCGATATTGTTCTACATTGGCACTTCAAAGTCGCTGCTACCACGAGATTGACGGCACTTGATGGCAGGTCACTAGCATTCGGTAAATAATGTACGACAACTAACCAACATTGAAACTAGTCGTTCGTCGAACGGATGCGCGCGAAAGGGCGTTCCACATCGACGACGTAACCATCGTTGGGGCGGGTATTAGTGGTGCATCTGTTCTGGACTTGAAAACAAAACGGTGCGCCAATGTTTGCATCACAATAACCGCCTTGTTCAGTACTTGATACTTGACCTCTATTGATAGTGCAACAGCAGATGCCATCGTAAGCATTGCAGCATGTGATGCGACACTCTTGGTAGCACGGCTGTCGGGCTCGATACATCAGTTTGTCCTGCCATCCATGACCTTGGACAATAAATATTCAATTCCATTCCGCCCGCAATCGATCTCTCTCAACTGCGATGCCAGTAGAGTGGCGATTCTGGATTCATCTGGAATGCTCAAATTGATGGAACTGGAGAAGAAGACACCGGGCCTGCCAAAGACAAGCCGCGGTACCGGGGCTCCCGTGCCGGGCGGTATGGCCGGTATACCCTCTGATCCCGGAAAGGTACGGGTAGACTCATACATATGAAGGTTGCTCACTGCAAATGACTAGGATTGTTTATTACGATTCATAGCGTGATGGCGGGAATCTGTTAAATTTTGAGAGAAAGGACGTTTGGGATATTCGCTGGTTAGTATCCATGTGAACGGATCCCATGTACCCATCATTGGTCCTCAAAACGCCCACCTGCAGGTCCGACGACAATCCAGAACTTTTCGCAATTATGGAGAAGACGCGTATGTACGTCTTCCGTAACTTGGATCCAGAAGAACCCATTACGTGCGCGGGATGTAAGCTTCCCATCTCAGAGATGGTTCATGCGCATCGCTACTCTTACACTTTCTCTATCAGATATATGTTGCTTCAATAATCTTCAGATCAAAGCGGCAATGCTGGACGAAATTATGTTGCAACCTGACACACCGTCCAGAGAGCAGTTAATTAACATTGAAACAAAATCTCTGCGGGATACGCGAAGTAAGGCGGTTTGAACCTGAAGGACCCTGCTTCAAAACGCTTACTTCTTTTGTCGCTAGATATCTTGTCGCAAGTTGGTCTCGCAGATGGCCATCAGTTTGTGGAGGACAATCCACATCCTCGTCTGTGGAAACTTATCGTTGATGCTGCCTTGGAGCAACTCGACTTTAATATCGCTCAGAAAGCGCTGGTGAAGTGCATGGATTACCCTGGTCTGCAATTTATCAAAAGACTTCAGAAGATGGACGTAAGTTGTAGCTAATCATATCTTGTCAGAGTAAGTCAGAAGTTAAAGCTTTCATGAACAGGACAATCTGAAGCAAAGAGCTGAAATTGCGGCTTTTTTTGGTCAATATGAGGTGGCTGAAAAGGTATATCTTGATATGGACCGAAAAGACCTTGCCATTGAGCTCCGTGAAAAAACTGGAGACTGGTTTCGAGTTGTTCAATTGATCAAAAGCGGCGGTGGAGGTGATGATGTCATGCTGGAGAAGGCCTGGAATCACATTGGTGACTATTATTATGATCGTCAGCGATGGTAGGAGCCTTTTGGAGCCGCGGTCCAACGCACGACTGCTAATGTGGATGACCATAGGTCCCAAGCAGCGACCTACTACGCACAAGGACGGAAATTCGAAAGGCTTGCCGAGTGTTATTACCTAGTTGAAGACTATGACGCGCTTGAAAAACTTGCGCTTAACTTACCCGAGGGCAATCCGCTACTCAGGGTAATCTATCCTCCGTGCTTTGCGGACTCTATTCTGACGGCTAACCAGCTGGTAAACTCAGGATATAGCAGAGAACTTTGTCAGCGTGGGTCTTGTCGAAGAAGCAGTTCGAGCTTATCTGAAAATTGGGGACATCAAAGCCGCCGTAGATACGTGCGTCCATCTCAATCAGGTCCGGTGCTGCAAACTCCCTGCATTTCCGATGACCAGCGAATCTCATCTCAAGTGGTCATTAGTGGAATACAGCTGTAGACTTGGCCCAACGGCATAGCTTTAAAGATATCGAAGGATTGTTGACGCAATATGCCAGTCATCTGCTGGAGAAGGGAAAGAAGCTCGAAGTGATTGAGTTATACAGGAAGGCGAACTACTGCGAGAAGTCTGCCAATCTGCTATATGAGGTCTGAGTAACATGGCCTACTGGATAGTGTCACAGCAGATTTACGCCTGTCTGCGATTATAGCTTGCACAAGAAGCGGCAAAGTCGAATAAGAGCCCCTTAATCATCAAGAAGATGTATGTTTTGGCCGCACTTGAGGTGGAACGCTATCATCAATTGACAAGGATGGAGCGGGGCGGACAAGAGGCGGTACGTCAAATCTTGTGCAAGTGGGTTGGGATCAACAACAGAAAACTAAATATGCCCTTTTGTACGTCCTTTTTGCTGCTGTGCTTAGACGAAAGCTGCTTTAGAGGGCTTACTCGCCGAGGATGCAAAAGCCCCTATGGAAAGCAAGTTTCTCGACAACGCCTGGAGAGGAGCGGAAGCATATCACTTCTACATGCTTGTACAACGGCAGTTTTATGCGGGCAATATTGAAGCTGCTGTCAAAACAGTATGATTATGTGGTTATCTGCGATATATTTACTTGTTATTAACAGTGGCTATGTTCCAGGCACTACATTTACGCGAATACGATGACATACTTGATGCTAAGGTTATATTTAGTCTTCTGGGTCTCGTGAGCATTCATGCGAAGAGATTCGGAGCATGCTCGAAAGCGTTTATGAAACTGGAAGCAATCCCCGCAACATCAGATCATGAAGTGGAACAGTTCGAGAAATTAGCATTGAATATCTTTACAAAGTACGTATCCACCTATTGGGAGAATTTGCGAATCTGGTAGCGACGTTCTGACCGACAATTTTTAGATATCCACCCCATGAGCCGAAAGGCCATCATGTGGCATGTACAAACTGTGGAGGGGTCATTCGAGACAGGTTCGTGCAAGATATTCTGACGATCTTCTGTTACTAATTTTCTGCTTTGGTACAGCGATACTTTCTGCACACATTGTCAGGTGACCTTCCCTACCTGCATTGCTTCTGGACAACCCATTTTGGACAGCATGCATTTTATGTGTCATGTCTGCAAGCACCGTGCCATCGAGAGCGAAATTGCTGGAATGAGCTGTTGTCCTTTGGTAAGAAGGTTTATGAATTGGCTCGTCCATGTGACGTTGCCTGGTGACTTTCTTATAATTAACTTAATGTCGTAGTGCCATGCGAGACTGTAGTATATCCATTAGAATCCAGTGTATATTTTTATTCTATTAATTTAACGTCCTTTCCCCACGGCTTCATGCTCCCAAAATGTCAGCCTCTGCGTTCTGTGCGGGAAAACCTAACAATTGATTCCCTTGAGAGAATCGTCAAATGTCGAGAGCTTGATTTCGGGCACCGATTGGCGCAAGTTGGTTTGGACGTACCAGAAGAGACATCCGCTGGAGAATCTTAATGGCTAGATATCTCGTTGGCTCTCGATGATATGCTAATTTTACTGAGGAGGCAAGGATCCACTGACGCTATATCTGAAGCCGAATATAAACAAAGATCTACTGTGTGAAAACCACGATACTTACTAATGCTACTCTGTAACTGACGCGTGCCACTAGGGAGAGGATATATGCCGTATATCGTCGCTAATCTTCATTAGTTTTCATAACTTCATGATGCTATCGTGTGATCTTTCGCTGTGTCCCAGTGGGTCAATCCGACCCGTGACTGTTAAGCGCTTGAAAATTGTCTGTCATCATCTCCAGGTATTCTTGCCGTCCTGGCCTAAATTGATGAATACCCTCGTGGCACCTTATGACCTGGCGGCCGTGGCGGCGATGATCTAATGTGGATGGAGCGCGCCTGGTGGCAGCAACATCAGCGATGCAATTGCTCCTACCGCTATAGGAGGAGGTGAGAATACGGCGTCGGCGACCGGCCGGGAGTTTGCTAATAGCTGCCCTGAGAGAAACTTCTTTTACCTGAAGTTATGAGGGTGCCCTCTCTTGGCTCTGCCGCTATCTTTGTGGAATCAAGCAGATCCTTATAACGGACCTGGCGTCAGCCCATAAAGTTTGAAGCGGATACTATGAGATCGTGGCTATACTCGTCGTTCCGGTATCTCATCTATAAAATGGTCAGGATCTAAGGATGTGGCTAGATTCTGATTTGAGGCCGTCGACAGCACCGGAGAGGTCCCGGATTTGCTTCAGATTTGCTCTCAGTTTCCGCAACTGGGTATAGTGGAATGCGACATAATGCCACAATGCCGTAAATGGTAGAGGTTTGCAGGGGTTGCTACAGGAGGGACGGGGGAGCTTGTAGAGCGCATTGGTAGGAAGCGTACACAGCCAAACACGGCGATAAGTCATGAAGCGGTCGGCCGTTTTTCAATTGATGTTAGAACCGGCCCACCGTTGCGGACGTTCACTTGCCCCAGGCTCAGGCTTACGTGCCCCAATGTTTCGCGTGACTAAACCACCGAGTTGCCCGGTTCTGATAAATTCCGGCTACTTGGTCCAACCAAATCGTTGAACGCAGCTACAGAAAATATGTATGAAAAAGCAACAAATATCTGCTTCCCAATGTTGATTTCCCATGTACAGAGCTAAAGATTGGTGGCTGTATGAAAACCCAAGTTTTTTCAAAAGTGTCCACTTAATAATTGTGAATGCGGACAGCGTGGTAACCTTTCCTGCTTCAAAAAGACCTGGTTTCCCTACCAAAGACAAATTTGGTCTGAGACCATACGCTTCGGCGAACGTTAACACCAAGTTGTTCCCGCAGGTGTTGCATGCTATGCAATACGAACCTCAGCACACATTTTCTCGTTTACCCTTGAGTAATCTTCTATAGCGGCTTCTTTTTGTCTGTCCTAATGATTTCTACCTTTCCAACTGCTGGATTAATGTAATTGATGCTATTGTGGCAGGGATCTTGACTCTAGAAAGAATGGGCATTGAAGTGCGACTCGCAAAATGTCCAACCTTTTAGGTGATGAACGTCTTATCCCTTTTCAATAGGCAATCCATAGAAAACAGTTTACAGCACGCTTTTTCCTCCTAATGTGTGCTCATGGAGAAAGGTGTCTCTGACTTGAGTTTTAGTTATTAGCTGTGCTTTTGACCATTGTCGACATGTATGTGGGCAAAAAAGACTGTTCAGTAATGCAGCCACTGGATCGAATGAAATGAAATGCAAAATGCCTGGATTTAGGCAAATAAACTATGGTTCGATGCACAAAAGATGCTCCATCATGAGAAAATGGGTCCAATACCTGTGGCCATGAACAGATTGCAATTACTATCCCTTGCGGCCATTGGATGAGGAATATTCTGCAGTTGCCACCTGCATGACGCTAAATGACTCAATATATCCACTCTTTTTTCTATATAACCCCCCCCTCTTCTTCTTCCCTCTTGTTCTTTACCCTCGACTCGCAAGCATCTGCCCAACATATCTCAGTCCATCATCATGAGAATGCCACTCTGGTGTCAAGGACCTCGCCCTCCTGACTACAACAACAACATAACCCCTTGCAAACACTATTACTACTATTCCGCTACGATCGCAGGTATGCATTATCTTTGTATTTTCCCATGCCCGTATTCCAAGTCTAATTCTGATCTACCTTAGTATCTGAACATCCTCTGACTAAAGAATTTCGGAATCAAGGGCTTAGTAGGATTTCTCTCGTGTGGTGGGCTTAGTTACCCGGTTAGAACAACCGTAATGTATTGCATGTGTAATTGGGCCTAGTCGTAGTTGGTTGTAAGGAGGGAATTGGCTTTTCCGGGCTGGTTGTCGCCAGTCTATTCCCTGGTGTATTGTGTTGTGACATTAGTTCTTGCCAATACACTACGATATTCGGGTCAGAACAGTTGACATGAAGACCTTACGCAAGCCCCAAGCCCCGTAGTCCATATTTGGGTTTATGAGACGCGTGCAGCATTCGGACACTTGCGGACATCTGTCACGTCGGTCAGATTTCACACTTCAAAGCGAGCGAGATCGTCAAGAATTTTCGAGATCCCATTGTCCCATTCTCAGGACGGCGTTGGCTGCGACAATTTTCGAGAATCCAACTCTTCTTGAATCCTCTTGAATTTTGCATAACTTGGAATACTTCCGGTCCTTGTCTCCAACCAAATAAAGCGAACTTCCACCGCCATTTTTTGCGGAAGAACACCGACTGACAAAGCCGGTTGCCGTGCCATAGGATTTCCGGATCACATATGTTATGAACGGTGGAACAAGATTAACAAGTGGTACGCAACCTGGAGGAAATTACGCAATGAACTCTCGAATGTCAACGATTGGAATTGGAGGGCCTCGACCTTCACTCGGACCACCGAGGATGTCCTTAGCCAGGGGAGGAGGTCCTATAGGTGGAATGGCGGGAATGGCGGATGGGCTGGCTGCAGGACGGACGTCTGATGCGCGTATGTCAGGGATTGGAAGAACGATGGGTGCCGTATCCAGGTTCGTCAAGCACCGTAGGAATATCTTTGGCAGCATAGCTCAATTTGAACTAAGCAACTCATCATCTAGACGCTCCAGCCAGTATGCTGGCCGACCGTCGAATATGGGAACTGGAGGCGCAACCATCATAACTAAAGACCCTCGTCAGATACGAGACAAGTCATGGCAGGCAAACGCCATTCGTTCGCTTATCAACTTCTTGGTGCAAAGCGGGTACAATCAAGCTGTATCAGTCAAAACCCTACAGGCACCTTCCGCAAAGGATTTCCAAAATATATTCAAATTCCTCTACGCCCAACTTGATCCCGACTACGTGTTTCAAAAAAAATTTGAAGAAGAAGTTCCGCCAATACTGAAAGGACTGAGGTGAGCTATCCTGTGATGCAAAGTGCGACCAATTGACTGACATTGCACATGCAGGTATCCGTTTGCCGATCAGATTAGCAAGTCACACCTATATTCCGTCGGGTCCATGCATGCATGGCCAACACTATTGGCAATGCTCACATGGATTGTAGAGCTGATTTGTGTAGGTGTGAGAAGCAGTGCACACAGTCTGATGTGTATGTTCGACTAATGCGCTAATCATCTGCAGTGCTGTGATGCTATGGATAATGAAAATGACATCGACGACGGAACCGGCATTCAGGACGACATACAACCGGAAAAGATGTTCTTCAACTATGTCACGCAGGCATATGGGGTCTTCTTGCAGGGAGACGATAATTATGAGTATATGGATAAAGAGCTTATTGACAGTTTCGGTATGTTGATGATGCGGATATGCTCACTTAAATCAATCGTTAACCAAAATGTTTAGATAGGAAAAACGAGAAGGTGCTCAAGGCATTGGAGCGCCTAGAAACGGAACATGATGCATTGGAAAAGGAATGGACCCACCTGACCGAAAGCGAAGTAAGTTCTACAAGTGATACACGTTCGCTCAGGAAGGACTAACACCAGCGATATTTGGCAGTCTCCCGTGGTCTTACTTGAGCGAGAGAGCAGAATTCTAGAATCCGACAAAGAGAAGTTTAGGCAGTATATACAGCACGTGGAGGGCAAAATACAAAAGTTCCAAGACGCGATATTGACGCTTAAAGAAGATCTTGAGGCGAAAGGTAAGAGTTCCCTTGTTTCTCATTGTGGTGCTTTCTTTGTGATGATTCATGTTCTCTCCCGTAATTAAGAGAAAGAAGGGGAGCAGCTTGCTGACGAGAAGGCTCAACTGCAACGAACTGTGGATGCACAGGAAATTTCGCCAGCAGACGTTGATCGAATGACAGCCGAAAGAGAGCAGCTCAATCAGACTCTGGGAACTGTAGCCGTGAAAATGGACGAAGCAAACAAAAGCCTCTGGGACAAGGAGATCACCATGCAAAAAAAGATGGATCACGTCAGTGTTCAGCTCGTTTCCGTTGATTTTTCACATAATGGAAGGCTGATTTTAAGATTTGAACGGAAACATATAGTTGGAAAAGTTAATCCAGGAGTACAATACGTTTGCCTACAAACTTGGCTTGCTGGGGCCAGACTCAGCAGCGGCAGAGTTAGCGGTGGAATTAGAACTGCGCGTGCACGCGAGCAGACCGGACCAAATGGTCTCCCTAGATCTACGTAACCAAGCAAAAGTAGGTCTGAGCTATTGATGCAATGCTGATTAGGTACTAACTGGTCTGCAGCCAAGCTTGACTCAACTTCGATCAAAATTCAATTCGAAGTTGCACCAAGCGCAGGATGATGTGATAGCATTGCAAGAAACCATGGATAACCTGAACTGGTCATTCACGCAAAAGAAAGAAGAACTTGGCGAGATTGAGAGTCAAATACGACAATTGGCCGACCGCTACCGACAGGAGCAAGAGGTGCGTACCTCATATGCCCAAGTTCGTCTTAAATGGGTCGCGCTAACCATCCTTCCAGCATATTGGTATTGCAAACAATGCCAGCAACGAGGAGATCCAGCAATATGAACGAAATATACAACGAATCAAGATTGAGGCTAACGGGGCTTTAATCCAGTCACAACAAAAAATGCAGAAGGCTGTCGTTGAGTACGTCTCCATCAAACATTATATTCTTGACATCCACTCTGACATCAATTATTAGATACGATCAACTTTCTCGAAACTGCACAGAACACCGAGAGCGATTGCTCAACCAACTTGCCAAAGCTCTGGTAGAGGTTTTCAACTTCCACCAGCATGTCCACGGCCAACTTGAGGAACTGCATAAGGAAGCAGAAGTGCATTTCAAGGAGGCCGTGCTGGATGCGGATAGGAGTAATCGATAATATTGGCATTACTCCACCAAGATTCAATAGAATTGGCACCAAGAGTGAACTGAAAGAATAAGTCTGATAGTTATTACCCCATATTTTATGTATGAACATTGAAAGTCATTGAAAGTAACGTCGTTCAGATCTACATGTGTGGCGTGGGATGTCCAAGCCACTGTGCGCGGAGGACTCTCAGTCGCAGGGAAAGACGGCGAGTTGCTCATTTCGCCATTAGCAATTGACGTCCTGTTGCCTTGACCTACAGACTCTGAACCAAGCGGTGGGATGCCTACTTACACTCTTGCCGTTCCGCCCATACTTCGACGGCGTGCAAGCCTGGCATTTCTCGCAATTACCTGTACACTCCTTTTCCTTATCTTCCCGTGGATAACGTCAACTGTGAATCCGGCCACGACTGCCCAATTCAACAAGTCAAAAGCGCAGGACTTGCAGTCCCACCATTTGTCTACAAGGGTTGTTCTTTCCTTAACATCCTTTGGGGGCCGTGTTGAAAATATCAATGAAACGTTGGCTTCACTTGTTGCTCAGTCCCGAACACCTGACGCCATTTACCTCATAGTCCCGTCGGAACCAATACATCGAGTGGATGAAAAGTCCACTACCTCAGTCTCTGACGAGTTCTTGAAGGGCTTGGAAGCTGGATTTGCACCTCTTTTGACGGTGTTGAGGACAGAAGATTGGGGACCGGCGACAAAATTACTTGGGGCGTTAACGGTTGAAAAAGACCCGAATACGATTGTCGTTACTGTTGATGACGATTCTACATACCATCCTGATATGCTGCTTGGGTTGGTAATGGCAAGCCACGAGCATCCGAACAACGCTGCATCTTATGTCTGCGAATTCCAGCCTTGGTGGGCATGGATTATTGATCGCGGACTGGCTATTAGGCAATGGTGGGAGGGGCCTTGTAAAGGTTGGGCAAACGCCTTCAAGGGCGTCGCTTACAGAGTAGGATGGTTTGGTGAGGAAATGTGGGATTGGTCGCGTGCGCCCAAGGGCTGCAAATTGCACGATGATGTTTGGATTAGTGGTAATCTATATAGGAAAGGGATCCGACCTTGGGTAGCTGTCCCTCCGTTTGATCCGCTGGTAGCTCACAGAAGGCACCCCACACTGTCCATTAATGCGGTGAAGGACACCGAATCGGCGTACCGAAACCCGTGTCTGGAATACTTTGGGCATTTTGCTTGATATGTATATAGGATAGTCCCTGTAACTTGCACTTTTAATTTAATCGGTGCTTGAGCGGTGCGCACAATAGAATAGCTCGGTGACATGAGAACTGAAAAGAAACTGGTTGCGCACGCATTTGACCGTGTTATTGCGAAAACAAATAAACCCAACGAGACCATGAAAACCAGCCCAAAAAAAACACAGAGAAAAAGAAAAAGCCAAATGTCAAATCTCACTTTGAAGTGATAGAGGTGTCCAGAGTATGAGAATCATCCCTATAATAACCCTGTCAAATCTTTGCTGTTTAAATACAGCGCCGCTCCTGCCTGTCACCCAACCCACACAAATCCAAGATCACAACCCGGTGTCAAGTAAACTCGGAGTAAACGAACAATTTTAAGCAAAAGCAATGGTAAACGCTCGTAGAACGTTGCCCTCTCCTCAGGTCCGGGGGTATTCCCTTCGCGGCCACTCTCTCAATGCCGCATCCAAAAATATAGAACGAAAACAAACCAATAAAAAAACACCAGCACTCAAAAACGGTAAGCCGTTCTCTCCTACAATCCTCAAGAATAATACCTGTTACCCTTCCGGACGTCGGCTGGCATCCCCAGCTGAGCTCCACTCTGGCGGCCAATCTTCCTCCATTGCAGTGGATCGTCTCGAATGATATCGTTCTTTGGCGTGTGCGTCAGACTCCGTGAGCCAGGATCGGTAGGGATTGGCACTCTGGGTAGCGGCAATTGAAGCTTGTGAGATACGCTCGTAATCGGAGGGGTACTGTGTCGTGGGTAAATTGTGCATCTCCGAGACATTAGTGTATCTAAAAGCTGGTCCATATCCCACGTTATTCCGTGCCGGAGTCATACTGCTTCGGGGTTGTGAACCCTGCGTCGGGCTTATCTCTGCAGTAGAAGATGTCATGGAGCTCTTTTGACCTCCTATGCTAAATTTTCTTGTCGTGCTATTGCTCCCTGAGCCCTCTGGCAGAGCAAGCGGATTGGTAATGGTTGATGGTATTAACGTCACCTCGGAGGCAGATTTTCGGTAGACATCCGCCAAATAACCACCGACATCCATAGTAAACTGAGACTGTAAAGACCGGCTCGATGTGACGGGCGCGGAGGGTCCTTCCGCGGAGACCGCTGCATCTGAGCCAGTATGTCGCACCGAATATGACTCTTGCGGAGAACTCACAGCGATCAGGTTTTTGGACGCAGCAGCGAAATCGTGACGAGCCCCAGCAGAGGAGTCCCACGCAGGATACGAAGAAGAAAGTGTTGTTGTATTGTTCACATCTGGTAGTCCCTCCTGCATCAAACTATTTGAACGTTCAGGCTCTTCTTTGACCTTCCATTCTGACAAATGGATGCATTCAATAGGCCCACTGTCGCTCCGTATATGCAAATCAAAGTGCGACTGCCACTCCTGGGGTTATACAAAGTACAATGAGATATTTTGCCATGAGGTGGAAGGTGATATACGGAACTTGGCGATTTCACCTCCTCGCTTTGTGGTATCGTCAGCCGAGACCCCGGCGGAACCCGTAATGCCAACAATTTCTTGGCTTGCAGCTTCGGAATTCGCGCTATGTCCTGCATTGAAACATACAGTAGTCTTTGAAATAGAAAACAGAGATCCATTAAACAACTGTCATGCACACCGAATTCGACGTTGGAACAATCCACGTACCGCCTTGTATGCTCCTTCGACATAACGGTGTCATGAGCATTATCCACATTCTGTCGCATTTGTCTCAAGTTCTCTAACTGCCTTTCTAAGGCTTCATTTTCCGCCCTAAGCGTCGCCACACGCTGTTCGACATTACGATCTTGTAAATACATATGGTCACCTCTAGTGGTTTTGCAAGGGTGAGGATCATTCACACAATGACTATCATCAGGGAAAACGCACTTCCATCGAATATGATTCTTAGTTGTCTTTTCAATAAGATTAATGCCTTCCAGGACATTTGTAATGTCATATATTCGACGCTTTTGAACGTTCAGTTGAGCGGCAGCTTGATTGAGATCCAAAACCCCGTCTCTCGACTCCCGCAATACGCTGATGAATTTTTTGGTCAAAAGACCAAGGGAGCTATCGAAACGGCCCACAGATGGTGCTAAAAGGAAGGTGAGTATGACATGAAGGGAACCCGCGATCGTTTTATGGTAACTTACTATCTGCGGCAGGTGACTCAGCTGTTGGCTGTCCTTCGGGAGCGGATCGTTTTTTTCCACTCTTTGGGGTCTTTGAAGACTTTTCCGCTGGCGGTGAGATTTGATGTGTGGGTCGTGGACTTGGAATATGGGGACTGCCTCGCTGCTTTTTCGAGCCCATCACGTGGTGTTGATGGTACGCGAAAGGTGCTCGGCCGTATAATTGCTGCATGTGATACGGTTGCTGTGGTTGAAGGACTGGCGGCTGCGGGCGTGGAGACTCTACGCCCTGATATTGCATGTATTGTGGATATCTTGACAACTCATGCGACTGCTGCAGAAATGGGCGAGACTGTGAGGGTACCGGATATTGCCCAGCCCCGGTTCCGAGCGGCATCTGAATATCCAGGAGATCCCGGTTCTTGAAGACAAAGAAAGATGATACGAATGTCAACATCGACCAATTAAATGCCGGTGAAAGAGGATTCAGGTGCGTTCACCTTATTCTGCCCATCGTGCGCGGCATGTTGATGGCTTCCTGCGTAAGCTAGAAATCCATCGTTAGAACACCGTTTGTGTACGCGAGTTTCCCCTTTTCGATAAGAAACGGTACTCGTCAAACAGCCCCCTTTGCCTGACACCTTTTCACAGTTTCCAGGCGTTTCTTTCTAGAGCGCGTGGCGTTCTCTTCTGAAGCTGCCAATTGGTGTCCTATTGCTATCAGCCCTTACCTGGAGATTGGTTAGGTTGTGAAGAGGGTATATAACCACTACTCGTAACCTCGTAAGGAAGCATCGCGTCTTCGGGACGGCTTTGAGATGCGCAATGCACTGTGACACGAGTCGTCGTTGGGGTCGCTTGATTCTCTTGGTGCTTGTTAGAAACCTTCAACGATTGACATGATGAGCCAATTGCTCGGCGGGGATCGCCGGCAACGGATGACGATGTGTGGAGGGAGGTCACTGCTGCCGCGGGAAATATCTGCGATCCGCGATTGACAGATGGTTAGAGATCGCGCGAGGATGACCACGATGGTGACAATAAATATGTAAAGCGCCCGCCTCCGCCCAATTCCTGCTATAGGGGCAAGAACTATCTTCCGGATTAAAACGTACCGCCACAAGAAAGGCGATAAATCACCGCGAGTGTTAAAATCTTCCCAAGTTGGGAGATGCTAATAATACGGATCGGGAGTGTGAAAAGGATGCGCAAAGTGTGAAATGAAGAGAAACGGGAGCAAGAAGGAAGAGGATTTTAGTCAAGAGTCCGGGTTTTTCCATTCGCCAGCACACTATGTTGGATTTGGGTTCTCAACACCCAAAGTGGGCAGCGATCGGTGTGTGCGAGGAAAAAAGACAAAAAAATACACAGCGATACGGCAAATGTCTGCCTAATTGACATTCATACTTTTATGGTTCAACAGGGATGATTGCAAGAACACAACGTTCTTGGCTGGTTGCCAGGTGGTACCCTCCCGGCCGTGGCGAACAATCACGCGCTAATAGCAAGTGTTTGGTAGAAAGCTGACAAAAAAACAAAAAGACGGGAAAGACGAAAAGACCCGTGTGCGTTCCTTCCGAGCCAGGTTTGAACAAAAGGGGGAGAAAGCAAGTGGGTCTTGGAAAAGGAAAGTATGGCGGAGGGGATTGTCTTTTCCTTTTGCCAAATTCCAACCTGGAGGAAGGGAACCTGCCAAAGGGGAACACTTCCGGAGTGAGACGGTGGGGGGACAAAAAGTCCTCAACAGCGTGCAATTAAAAAACGCTTGCCCCAGCAAGCAGAGGGGGGGCAGACTGATGAACGCCACCATCGTGCAATTGTTCTTAGCGAACAAAAAAAAACCCAATCAAAATATAGCATTAAGCAGTCGGCGATTCCATACAAAAAAGGCAAACGGACGCCGTTTCGTAAATTAACTTTGGGCCTGCACTGCAGCGGCTTAGACCTCCGACAAGAGGCTGCGAGGCCTCTGGCTTGCCACACAAGGTCGTCTTCAAAGGATGAAAGGAAACTTCACACCCCAAGGGCTGACCCCATCCTTCTGGAAGTGTGACGCTCATCGGCCGCTTCATACGCGACGCGTCAACACAACAGCGAGATGCAAGATGTCTCACTTTACGCAATGTCTCAGTAAAGCACCACTCCATAACGGTTGTGTGCGTCTGGATGCACACATAGCCGTTGAGATTGGATGGGCCATAAACTACTGCTGATGACATGGTCCGTAGTTGCCCCCTTATGTATGAATATGGATGGGTGCCACGTGTATCGTATACAAGTAGTGCGGGTGACATTGACCAGATGTGGACAGGGCCGGTTTGTTGACGATACATAATTAGACGAGACAGTCCCTTATGTTCGGAATGAGATATGTGTCCTAGAACGTTTCTCAAACTGGTTTTGACATCTCCTCTGTTGTCCCCGTTCTGGGCGTAATCGTAATAATGAGTCAAGGTTATTGCTTCTGTCGTTGCAAGCACATGCGCTTCATAAAATATTCCGCAGTGATCGGCACGCACGATTGGTGTAAGCCTCTGGAAAGCCAACGGTGGATGTCGTAATCAGCGCCATGTCCGAAAGTCGGACAAATCGGACTAGTTGCGCTCAACACAGTCCAGCTCCACCCTAACAGCCCATTAATATCAACGAAAATTCAATTCATCTGACAGCCTGCGGGATTCAAATCAGCGGATCTTCTATTATTTCTTTCTACCGAAACAAGGATATCTATAACTCCATGTCCTCCCGACGTAGCACACGTAAAAGAAAGTGCAATACAGCGGATATAAGGTATCGTCCTTTTGCCGTCAGCACTTATAGTCGGCATTGCCAAATCCCTTCACTAATTATACTCGACCGGCGCGATATATTTCAAACTGTGCTCATAATATTAGCTCGTCATGGTATGTTGGCTACGCGGAAGACGGAGAGTCAGTGGAAGCAATTATGCAGAAATTCCAAGAACTTGAGAGGATGCAACAGGAGTTGGCCGCGCAAGGCTCCTCCACTCCTGTAAGCGCCCCAACTCCAGAAGCATCATCTGTCTTTGCCAGCGGAACGAATTCGGATGCAGATGCGGACATGGCGCGTGCCATTGCTTTGCAAGAGGTTTGTTTCTTTGTCGCAACGGCTCTGATCCACGTTTTACCCATACCGAAGATTATCTTATAGGGACAGGAGGAATCGACATTTACTCAGGCGCAGCTTGAAGAACTGTTCAAACGAACCTCGTGCTTCACGGTCAAACAGGCAACGTTAGATCTCGACCCTGACGATTTGGACGAGCTGGAGCTTTGGCGCCTGGAGATGGAGGGTGGAGATGACGATGATTGGGAAGAAAAGTGAGAGCAGATAGATGGCGTATTTGATCTCATGATCGCGTTAAGCTGATCCTAACCTGCTCAATCTACCGCAGTGATAATCACATTCTGGATGATGATATGTGGGATGATGAGTTCGGACCTGCACGATCCGGCAGACGAGGGGAAAGGATCCCGCGTGCTCGATCTGGCGGACTCCGATCGAAGCTGGATCGTGAGAGTCTTATCGCCAAGTATAAGGTCATGCAGATTCAGATGCAGGACAGAAATGGAAATTTCTTCGTCATGAAGAAGAGAGTGTGGTGTGTACTGCTACTACAATTCTTCATACCCCACATAGTTGATTGTATTTTTGCCGTCAGTACTGTTGATCCGAGGTTGCCGACCTACATTCGCATCCCTCCGGTTCCGATACCACGATCATGGGTCAAATTAATTACGTCATATGCTCCTCCAAGCGGTGACATTGAAGGGTGCAGGTAGATATAGCTAATTGGCGATCTCCTTGTCGTCGTGCTCTCCTGATAGCTTCACAGATATTTTGAGGACGACATCCTTCACTTCAATATGAAGCCCTTGGGCAATCGGTTTCAGGTTGTCCATATGAATCCCCCATTCCTCATGCCTGATGAAGAACCCACGTCCGGAAAGATCTCCATGAAGCAATTTGTGCGTAGGGGTAGACATATCTCCATCACGTGTGGTGATACTCACCATCTTTGCGGCTGATATAGGAGAAATTAGACATCCCGGCCATAATACCATTTGGATTTCTTTTCATCTGGGCTGAAAAGGAATTGACGCCCGACATTCTTCGGGCTACTCAATCATGGGGTTTCCGCTATGTCGAAAATTTCGCCTGGATCAAGAGAGAGAGGAGCAACAAGATTGCCCGACAATCCTCACGATATTTTAATAAAAGTAAGACGACTTGTTTGATATTGAGAAAGGAGCGCAAGGTATGACGACCGGGCGAGATCGCGAGAGTTATCAACGTGGAGCAGCTTCTTATACTTCTGCTTTAACTATCAGGAAGGCGACGTTGAACTTCGACATCAAAGAAGTCCTGATTGCGAGTTTGACTTTATAAAACCAAAGCTACCTGGTATGCGTCAGATACCTACATCAAAGTCATCAAATTGAAATCTTAATGCAGATTGATTTCAGAGGATCTGACTGAGGAGAAGCCCAACTTCGTCTACGACGTGATCGAAACCCTTTTGCCACAGGCGGTTTATGGTCCGGCAAACCAGAACGGTGACAGAATGTTGGATCTGTAAGTCACTGTTGGATATGTATGCAAATCCATGTAGACGGCATTAACATCCGTTGCCTAATGCAGTTGGGCCAAACCAGGACGAAGGCGAAAGGGATGGACCATGGTGGTACAAAAGAGGTCATAGACTGTTTACACTCCGTCTCCGAAATGCATAGAGATTAGCTGTAGGCTCTGATTGGAAAGATGGATTCTAGATACTATGGAGTTGTACCCATGACTTATAGCAGGAAGACGTACTGGGGGCTAGGACCGAAATCAAAATCTCTCTAGATTTGAGGCACTACATGGATCACCAGGATGCGTGTTTCTGAGTTATTGATAAAATACAGAAGACTGCTAGCTGTCAAATGCCGCTTGCATCTACTATCGTCCAAACTGGCCCTGTTCAATCCGCTCAAAGTGCGTTCGCGCTGCCGCTATGTTGATGACAGTTGCAGCTGATTCTAAGATCGTGAAACGTTCAACGTCAACATGTGATTGACTTTCTCAGACTCTTGGTCACTATGAGGAACTTACGTATTGTAGGATCCGACATGATGACCATGACGTATGTATTCGGAGTTAGAACATCGATAAACGACGCAAAAGTTGAGCTTCGAACTTCCATACATTGAAACTGTGCTTGCGATTTACTGTCGATGAGTAAAGTCACATGAGTACCGTCATTCCTCACGATGCCTTGAATCAGAACCCAGTTACCTGCAGCTCAGTTTAAACTGCTTAATGATATTTGATATCTTTTCAAAACGATGGACATCTGCATGTGGGCGCTGCGTGGAATGAGAAATGACGAGGAATGTTGTACGTTCGAAGAGAACGACTTCATCGGCTTCGCAAATATTGCAGAAGCTTTCCAAGTGTGTTTCGAGAAGGCGGACGTTGGGTATCAAGGAGTAGACAATGGATGACCAAGCCTACGGAGCATATTTAACGCTGGTTAAATATCAATTGAAACTTCGGAACGGCATAAATACTTTATATAAGGTCTCATCCCAAATAGATGTCTTGAATGCGGTGATTGACAGTGGTAATGACCGCCGTTTCAAATCCGCTTCTCGCTCCCTGAAAACCTTCCGCCGCCGCGAATGTTATGTCGGAATTTATAAACAGACTCATCAGAAGCTCTTTCCATACCAACTCTCTCTGATCTTCTTGGACCAGATCCATCTTATGTATCAGACAAAATATTCTCGCATCTTTCGAGTTTTGTAGAATTGCCTCCAGGCATGACTGATAGTAGTGCATGTCCTTCTCGTATTCGCGCGATTCTACGTCGAAGACGTAGATCAGGACCTCCACGTTGCGAAATATGTGGTCCCGTTGGGCAGCTATATAGTTCTCCATGAACACCTCCTGGCTAGCAGGAGAAATCGGTCAGAGTTGAGTAAACATATGGAAATGATGCTAACGGGCGTACCCTCCGCAATCCCATAAGTTAAGCACCAAATTTCCCAAAAACCGAACATTTGAGTGTTCAACATCAACTTGGAGTCACCGAAAATAACAGTCAGTTATCACGTTTCCAGCAAGGCCAAGAGCGCAACTACTCCTGGTTTCGTACTTGTCGCTCCAAGCCGTCGTGTATCCCGCGCAATGTAGTTGGCAAATATGATTGAGCGCATGGAGGTCTTTCCAGACCCGCTCTTTCCCATTAACAGGACCTATTGATTTATTTAGAGTCTATTATTAGCAGAGCGTTGGCAAGCACAAGATTTTTGTCTCAAGGAACCTGGAACCTTTACCTTCTTCTTCATGTTTAGTTGTAGACAGCCGAAATGTTCTAGACAGCACACACAGTCGTTGCAAGCTCTGGGCGAGCGATATCACAAGCCCGACCACGTCATCGTGACTCATTCAGCAGACTCCAAAACCAAACTCCAATGGGACTACCGGGACTTGTCCGATGTCCAGCGACGATCTCCTGCCCAGTAGAGAAGTTCGGTCGCTCCACGGCCATAAGGGTCCCGTACACGCAGTTCGGTATAATCAGGATGGAAATTATATATTAACCGCGGGAAGCGACCGGACAATTCGACTGTGGAATCCAGAAACGGGTCTTTCGATAAAGACATATGAGGGTCATGGAAAGGACGTTTTCGCTGTTTGCGTGTAAGTTATATTATTTATTTATTGGTGGTCGTCGTATACGGAGTAGCTCAATTTCGTAAGCTATAGACCTCCAACCGGCGCGGATAATTCCCGCTTCGCCTCCTGCTCTGCCGATCGATCTGTGTTCATATGGGATGTCGGTACCGGGCGCCCAACCCGGCGGTTTACAGGACATCACCAACGTGTCAATGCGGTAGCGTTTAATGCCGAAGCAACGGTGGTTGTAAGTGGAAGTTATGACGCTTCGGTTAGATGCTGGGATTCTCGGTAGGTTGCACTGCAAGATGTTGCCATATTCCCATTTGAAGTACATCGTACACTAGAGTCTTCTCACTTGCGTCTATTTTTCAGATCAAATTCGCGAACGCCAATACAACTTCTGGAGGACGCCAAGGATAGTGTAGAGGCCGTGCAAGTTCTTGATACAGAGATTCTCACTGGGTATGGTAATGGGAAGAGGAGCAGTTACAGAAATGCCACAATTATAATGCTTATATCGAAGCTGTTTACAGGTCTGTGGACGGCTGCGTGCGCATATATGACATTCGCATGGGCGAGGTGATTACGGACAAAGTCGGACGTGCGTAGTGTGGGTCACGTTGAGCCATGAGACGCCGTCTGTGCGTAGCGGATCTAAATGAGATTTTATTCCTACAGATGCGGTGACTTCCGCGACATTTACCGGTGATAAGAACTGCGTGCTCGTGAGTTCCTTGGACAGCACATTACGATTATTTGATAAAGAAAATGGGGAACTTCTGAATGAGTACGGGACATGAGCGCGCTTGACCAGTGCTGTGGTTGACCGCTGACATATATTTGGTTCATGTCAGTTACAAAGGTCACAAGAATGACGAGTATCGCCTGATTAGTTGCTTGAGCAACACTGATGCACATGTGATAAGTGGAAGTGAGGATGGCAACATATATATGTGGGACTTGGTAGAGGTAAGATTCGACGGAGCTCCACATGCTTCGCAAGACATTAACCTGGGATGCAGGGCAATCTTTTGCGAACAATTAAGGCACACAACAGAGCAGTAACTTGTGTCGCCTACCATCCCAAGAAGGCGGGGATGACATCGTCGAGCGTCGATGGGACGGTGAAGGTTTGGGGAGGAGCGGATACCTAGCAATCCTTAAAAAAGGCGTAAAACTCCGTTCTTCAAGTAACGTACAAAAGATCTTTTTTTTTGGGGGGGGGGGCTCTGCCTTCTATGATATATACAAATTTACACGACCAGTTTCCCTATTGAGTATCTGGTGTCGGGTATATGAAGATCGTATCTGAAGCGACATCATGAATCTATTTCCGTTCGGCAGCTGCATTCCCGAGGAGAGGAGTCATTGAGCACAGCATTCTAGCGAGGAATGCGACATTCAAAACTTACATGGGACAGGTTGAGTGGTCTTTCAGCCATCGGTCAATGCACTTCAACAGGTCCAGATGAGTTACAAGGGACAATTGGCACTAAACAGACAGACAGGCAAACCTCGTCATGAAACCAATGTGCACATGGTGTGCCCTTCAATGAATCTCCCGCATCATACTCGCTCAGGCAAACCGTGCATCTATTTGGGAAAACGTGTTAAATGAATCACGCAGCGGGCGGGCAACTAGTAATGATACCTACTTTGCCTCCTCCGCGGACATGCTTCCTGGCTTGTACTTTTTACGTGGAAGTGACTCCACTAAATGACGCGATAGACCTTTGGGTTTCGCTGCACCAATGCGTTCGCTGAGTGCCAGTAGAGCCTGGGAACCAATTATGTCTCACAACAATGTTGACCAAGATTTGCAAACGGAAATGTACCTCGTAACTGGTATCTAACTCTTCGTCAGGCAAATAATTTTCAGGATTAGATGCCAACCCGTCCCTAGAAAGAGAAGTTGGTTTATGTCCACAGTACATCCATCATGACCAGTTTTACTCACATGAGGTTTGGGATCATATCAGCGCCCAATTGTTCAGCGAGTTCATATGCCATAAGTAAGTCCATGTCGACATCTGCATTTCTCATGTTCTCTCGCCATCTAGGTCTGGCTTGTCGTCGGCGAATAGATCCACGTGCTAGGTTGTCCGCCTGGACCCCGATTGCTCTCAGCTGCTCCATGGAAGCATTCTATGTTGAAGATCACATTAGCCAAACAAAAAGTTTCATTGGAATGAGGTAAGAGAGAGCAATCCCGTACAAAGTTTGGAGGCTGTAAAGCTCCGTATTCTTCTTCTTGCAGCATGCGTGCCAAATCCTCGTCAGACATTGTACGTGGAGAGGAAGGTCGTCGAGGTTCCGTGGGAGTAGATCCTCTGGAGTGGGCAGCGACTGCTCGACGTGGGGCCTCGGAGAGTACACGGCCTCCCAAAGTCTGAGGTAGCCTCTAAATGAAAAGGGAAGTGTTAATCATAACAAAGAACATGCCCTGTAATGGTTATTAGGAAGTGTACCGAATTGCTTGCAGCAGTTTGCCGATTCGCGCTGAGTGGCAGCGGAATGCTCCCTGGCTCGTCGTCGTTCGTGCTGGATGATGCTGTTATATGGACAGACGATGGCCGAGTGCCGAAGGAACCAAGGGCCGAAAGGGCACCTCTCGCCTCTGGCTGTGTTCTACGAGAGCTCTGTATCGTACGGCTGGAACTGGCGTTCGCATGGTCAGGTTCTTCCAGTTCGCCCCATAATGCCCGCGCTCGTTGTGTTCTTGATCCCGCTCCTGACGATGAGCCATTGATTCTAAATGTTGACGAAGATGTCGTAGGTACAGTCGAACTTGAGCCGATAGCTGATGTTCCAGGACTCGTCAGGTCAATCACATCATTTAGGCGCGTTGTATTGATGGCTGTCCGGGAAGGATCGGGAGTCAAAGAAGATGAACTACCAGCGTCCGGTTTCCGCTTACGTTTTCTCCCCGGTGACCTGTTGGAATCATCTGAATCAGTCGACCTGATGTCAGAAGTGTTGCTGCTTTCGATGGCTGTGGACAAACTTCGGCTCGAACTCCCAGGGTACCGGGCCGATGTCACAGCGCCGCCGTTGCAACGCTGCGACAAACCTGCCCTCTTTTCATGACGACTGGTTGTTGATGACACGGGAGCCCGATCATCTTTAAGGATAGCACCATGATCCATGGAGTGGCCCGAAGACGCGGACGCTGCTCTTGAATGCTCTATACTAGACGGTTCCCACACACTGGGCCCTTCCAAAAAGAATTGAAGTGCAGGATCTCTAAAGTTGGACTGACCGAGCCGATGCGACCCGCTTGTAGAATGGCCCTTGGATCTATTACCCAAGTAAAATCCTGGCGACTGAAGATCGTCCGACTCATTTCCGCTAAGGTGTGCTGTTCTCCGTTGTTCAGGTGTGTGAGAAGGACCAGCGTCTGACGACATCGGCCGCACTGTCGCAGCAGACCGGCAAGACGCTGCAGGCCCGCGCCTACTTGGAATTCCCGCAGTCTCTGGGTCACTCGCAGCTCTCCTCTCAGACTCTGTCTCGAGTAAATGATAATGATCAGAACGTTTCCCTGACGTTCTCGCTTTGGGAAGTCCGTCGTCGCTCAGGCTATCTTCGTCCAGTATCGATGCTCCTCTTGAGGTTCGCTGAGATTCATAGGCGCTGTCAACACTCATGGTCCAGTCAGGCCAACGCTGTTGCTGGTGAATGGAATTCGGAGTCCTATCTTTCAATCTTCCGCTTCTGCTCCACTTCAAGTGAAAATGGAATTTGGTTGTCAATGTTTGTCACTGATGGAACCTTGCAAGCCCAAGGGTGGAGACACCTGTTTGGGCACCTGAGGTCCACACTGGAAAACGCGCAAGTGGTTTGGAAAATTGGACAGCACTGGCTTACTAAGCACGATCGGCAACGTTTTGTCACTTTACATGTTGCTTCCATTCATCCATCAATTGGAGCCTGTTACGCATTAGATACCTCATCTCTTGCGTCTGACGGCCATCAGCGGGGCTTGATGGACGGAGAATGACGTCGAGAGTTGGCCAAGTGTCAAAAAGAAACATTACCCCTATGGGCTCTTGCAGGATGCCCTGAAAGCTTGCAATGTTGAAAATACTCTACTGAAACTACCCAAAACTAAGATCTCAGCTAGCCTTCCCAAGATCTAGCTTCCGCTTAAATGTCTTCTCAGCGGTATATATGAATGAATCTACAATTCCAGCAACAGTAAAGACTCCGCCAACCACCGCGCACACGTCCGTAAGGAAGTGTGAGAATGGCTTTTGATACTCTGTGTAGGTCACGAGCATAGGAGAGATGTCGTAATTGAAAAAAATGCCTGCAATTATGTCGGAGTGAGTGACATAGTGGTTTGCAGAGCTGGCAGTCAAAGGGCGGGCGCACCTGGTAACCCTCCACCACCTGTTCTCGGTGTTGTATCCCGCTCGTGTTCGGTCGCCGAGAATTGATTGGTATGTATTACAGTACCGTTCATATAATTGAACCTTGTGCTGACTACTTTGATATAGTACTGGAACATAAAGTACTCTGTTGTGTGTTAAGGTGTGCTGTATTGACGACCTACTAGCAAATTGTGATGGCACCCACCCCCTTTGGTCTCCTTCGATACTCCGTCCAAAGGATTAGCGAAATCCACCTGTCTTCCAAATGATAGCGAATGAATAGTATGGGTGAATTGGAATTTGTGATCCTTAAGGTACGGCGCAAGATCGTGCACATGCATATGGCTTTGCGAAAAGCTTTTCCCGGGAGCAAGGTGAACGTTTCCTGCCACTTTGTTTACTTGCAAATGCCCCCAAACGTTACATCCCTCTTTGGATTGATTGGCAATCTTGTCAGCCCAGCCCTCGTTGATGCACTGTTAACGATATGAAGACCAGTTCAGATCGAAAGCGCCTCAGTAGCAAGACCAATAGCGTGCATGCACCGTTGTACTGACCTGTTCCACTTTCTCTGCCGCAAAGGCCCAGCCCATTTCCGCATAAGCCTTTTGCACGTCCTCACATGAGTTACAGCATCCGCTTTCAGGAGCCTTTGCGTTATAGCAGCTTCCACAGTACGCTGGATCTTTTGCCTTTGCCACCGCCCCGGATAGCCCCTTGGTACTGTCTCCGATCTCTGGACGAGTCAACCTTGTTTGTGAATCAGGTATAACGAAGAATTGCTCATCGTATTAACTTACGCCCTTTTTCTGCGTCAATCTTATTCCCTTTTTCGTCCAGACGTACTTTATAAATAGTGGACGCTATATCGTTCTGGTGCTCTCCCGCCACGTCCATAACATCCATGCTCAGCACTGTATAGCAATGATGAATGAGGATACTGTGGAAGTCAAGGTTACAACCAGTATGCCCTACGCACAGTAGCATGGTACTCGAGGCACTGTAATGTTCAAATTGATCCATAGCTTCTCTTTGCGGGCTTTGTCGACCTCAATGCTCGGTTGCAGAGTCACAGACCGCCAGTCAATAAACTCGGAGAAAAGCAGCAGCGTTATTACAATCGCGCTAGCCAGTGTCACTGTAGAAAGGTTTTGTTGCTTGAGCCTTTGCATCAACCGCCTCCTGAACAAGCGTTACAAACCCGCCGCCCCTGATGCTGTCTTTACTCGAAAATCTTCAATTGGCTTCGCGTATGCATCAAAGTCTTTTAGTTTGTCCAGTAAGTTACCGGAGCTTACAGCTGTACTGGTTCGTCTCCTAAGGGACATGTTGACGACTGCAGCGGGCGGAGATGGAGATGGCAGCGCATTCGAGTAGAGAGCGTTTGAAACCACGATAGGCCCTTGACTGTGCCACTCGCCGAATTCTGGAATTACTTCAAGAACTTCAACTAGTATCTATCATTTTATGCAACTATGCACTTTTCAATATCACTGGCATACGGTGTCCCTTTATATTATGGATCACCAGCTACTAATGAGAGTAGCTGCATTTCTTAACCAACATCAGCGTACGATCTACAGAGTAGACCGTATGATAAACTTGGGTCCCCGCTGTCAGTAGGCCAGTGAAACAGATCCGGCCATCTGTGGTCATTAGTATCATGTTCAATAACATTGGCAGGGGTCTCTCCTAACAGCTCGCTGGTAAGCCAATATAGAGAGCCATACGTTAGCGAGCAAAGATGCTCGAGCGTAGCAGTGATGCACCTGTTGGAAAAGCCCGGGAGTAAATTTACTTTGTCCGGCCATCGTTCAAACTACGAGAGTTTAAAGTTCGAAGCGATATATGGCTGTGCCACTGGCGGACAATTGAAGAAGTCTGTGCCACATCCGCGGCTGGCTCGTCCTTTGTCGTCTTGCACTGCCTTGACATGTGCCAAGATGGCCACGATAGATGGGGAGAGAGGCATGAATAGCCTGCAGAGGTACTCTTCCAATGGCTGATATGAAAAGTCCAAGGAGTTTGCAGTGTTCCTTACCATATATGTTCCACCCGTAGTGATGAAAGACTCCTTGCCCCACCGTTACCTCCACGAGCAGCGAACCGACAAGAAACCGACTGGATATCGGAGAGTACGTTATTGTCACCTCCGTACTTTGCAGATGAAGACGCTTACCCAGCCCTATACAGCGGCCCCACAAGATAGAATATGCATACTTCGCGACTTTTTGAAAGGACAGCCAGACTACAATATTCGAGTCTTTGTCCTCCGCCACATTGTATCGCGAATAACATTCAAGCCATGGCACCTGGTAGGCATCGCGGGTTTCCTAGGAATGACGTTCCTCAACGTGTACAATGCCCGGACACAACTCTGTCATGCTTTTGGTCTTGATGGACAGTTTCTATGCTTTCTTTCTGCCACAAACCCGTACAGCTCCGATGATGACCATTTCAAAGTTGAAGACCTCTATCATTCCCTCTCGATTTTGCGAGTCGTAGCCATTATTGAAGGATTATTGGTCTTTTTCTTTGCCTTTTCCGCTTGTGCGATGGGCGCTGTTTTGACGTTGATCGACTGGAGACAACATCATCGACAGGAAGCAAAGTGGGATCCGTACCATCACGACCGGTTTCTATGGTGGGCTGTGCGCTGGGGGGTGATTTTATCTCTTGCGAGCCAGTTTTCTTTGCTATGCGGACTAGCATGTCTGACATTGATCAAAACGGAGCCACTACGATTAGGAAAGCGGTTAATACGAAAATATCCCCACATGTGGGGCATGGAGACAATACCCAAAGTCATGATAGCTGCTCTTCTGACTGCATTGTTATTCGGCTTTGGTATAGTTATCGGCATCATAGCAGTTTGGGCAAAGCTGCAACTAGCACGGGTCGGGGTTACCCTTCCTCATTCCCTCGGGTTGGATCCCAGCACGGGACAGTGGACACATTGGACCTTTGGACAAGTGGTCATGCTTCTGGGGCTGGCAAACAATATTGCCGGATTGTTTGCGCTAGGCAGCCCAAACAAGATTACCTCACTCTTGTACGTGACCACGGTAGCAGATCGCCTTGTGCAATGGGTGCTAATGGAGTGCTTTGTTTATCCATCTTCAGGGAATACCGGATAGATCCAAAACTCTTTGCTGGTGCGCTGCTTTACGAACATGGATTTGTGGTCGCAGCTGCCATTTGGTTTGCAGCAGATAGACGCGAGGTTCGCAAGGCTTTACGGGACGTATTTGTGCAGCTAGTACCAGAGATACCATGACCGTCCTATCGTTACAATTTTGTAAGCACTTAGTAGAATTAGATAGATGTTGATATTTTCCTTGTTATCCTTAGTGTTCCCATAGCTTTCGTCTGGTGAGCATCTCCATCGTTTCTCGAGTGCGATTTTCCATTAAAAACAAGCACGCTGCAGCTGGATTGATCGGTGTGGCGCAGGAACGGGAGGTCGATCGCGTCGCGTCCAACTGTCTTCTCCAAGAAAACCAATGCTTTCACCGACCCTCCGACGGCGCTTGTTTCTGTCTTCCCTTATCCTCGTCCTAGTGCTTGGAACAATTGGGCATGTCACCCTTAACGCTTGGTCCATTCTTTATGGGCTGATGATCGGTGTCTTTCTCACAGACTCTTTACCCTGGGACCTCGCACGCAATGCAGCTGGCATGCTATCACAGGCGGTAGAAGCACCTGATGCGAAGACTAGCACTTATGGCCATGAGTACGGATTGGACCATGCATTACTGAATATCCCTCCGTGTGAGACGTTCTGGTTGAACATGGGTTACTGGAAGGTGAGGAACATGGCGCCCAGCAGCTTTAAATTGCCAAATGCGCACTTACGAAATACCAATGATAGAACACACGGTCCTTTGTGGAAGCTTGCAAAGGTGAATCCGTGAGGCGTGTGACGGCGTGCAACTGGCGCTTGGCAGGTTACTGATACTACTTCTCCTAGCCCTTGCCAAGCTCGTCATCGATGCAGCGGACGTCAAAGATGGGTCTCGGGTAATGGGTGAGTTGAATCTCATTTAAGCATACTACGAGAGGACTGCTTCTTTCTTTTGTAATCCCATCTTTGGATTAATGCTCGAATTGTTCGCTAGATTTTGGTTACGGCTGTGGTGACCAGGATGTGTTCTTTTTGGAATGCCACCCAAATATTACCATTACTGGCGTTACGTCCGAACCCAAGCAAGCTCTTATTGCGTATTCACGTATCAAAGCACGAAGTATGCACAAGTCCATCACATTGTACGCCGGGGATGCTGTCAATCCATCAACCTGGCGCCACATTCCTTCACACGTATCACCTCCCACCGACGTCCTAGATCCTGCTACATACGACGCGGTCATCTCGCTTGATTCATGCTATCATTACTCTACTCGATGGCAATGGTTGAATCAAAGCGCTTCGTTATTACGGTTGGGGGGACGAATTAGCGGGACAGACCTTGTTCTCGGTTCAGGCTATGACGAAGGTGGATATTTCACGCAGTTTCTTCTCCGCGCTGCACTTTACTTCACGGGAGCGCCATGGGAGAACTTCGTTTCCGAGCATGTGTACAGAAAACGGCTTCAGGAAGCAGGATTTGTTGGGATAACGGTGGAAGATATTTCCGAGCATGTTTTGCCCGGGCTGGCTGCGTTTATTGAACAGCACAGGCAGAATATTGGGGGTGTCGTGGACATTGATAGAAAATGGCGACAGTATGAAGGTGCCGCAAAGCTATTTAGATGGCTCTATCACAAAAAGTTGGTCAAGTTTGTCTTATTTAGTGGAACTCGATCTTGACCTTTTGAGTGACTGGCCATTAAGACTTTCTGCTACTATATTTATGTGTTATGCAGGTATGCTTGGTCCTTTTGGCCATATTCATCGCTGAGCCGCTCCGACAACATTGAATTCTTGATTTGCTCGTGAATGTTCATTGCCAACTAGCCTTCTGTCCAGATAAACCATGGTAGTCCAAATGGTGGAGATCACTTCCATGCATCAGTTATCATATGATGTTGGTAGTTATGCTGTGTGCGCTGTGCTTGTTGGATGCATGATACCTTGGATAGGACTTCGGAGGTTAAATCTTCCGCTAATGGCCGGAACCTTCCACTGGTGTGTCACGTGTAATCTGCTTGTAACCTGCGGGAGATGGGATTTGCTAAACATCTAATCAGCGCTTCTCGGTAGAGTCGCCGTCGTTGTGGTTCGTCGTCGTCGTCGTCCTCCCCATTCGTCGTCGACTTGAGAACCATCAATAATTATTCCGTTCACCAGTGCGGGCGGCGGCGTTGGGTAAGGCCCGGGATGGCGTCGCGAAAAGTACATCGATAGGGCGTAGACGGCGAGCAAATTCAGATCGCATGACTGTGCCACTCGAGATAACATGACGCTGCGTTTTATGAGCAGAGTGACATGGCAATTCTTTTTTCGTAGCTTGTTTGCAATCGTTCATCTTTCTTGCATCTGCATCTGCACGTAACCCTTTGACCTACTCCACGTCAAAAACGATGGCTGCAACGTAAGTGAACTTGTTGTCTGGTGCTTGGGATGGGCGCACGGCAAGCAGTGTATAATCAGATGAGTCACGGTCATCTCCATGATGAAAGGCATATGATGATATGTGGTCTATAATTGCCGTCAAAAAACGGCACCATAGCGCGCGATGCTTTCTAGCTGGTTGGTTTTCCGCGTCTCACCTTTTGTTCTGTCTTAGTGGCGATATCGGTCTGATCGGCTTGGCCGTTATGGTAGCGTGTTCCTCTTCTCGTCCAAAGTGTTTATCTGCACTATGAAAAAGTATTCCCCACTCAAATCATATGTTTCCACGATAGGGTCAAAACCTTATCTTGAATATGGCGGACCATGGTTACAATGTAGGGAATCTGTAACAAGCATATTTTGGGCCACCTTTAACTCTAACCATGATTCGCTATTTAGGTGGTTGCGTACAACCGGACAACAAGCAAGGTGGACGAGTTCTTGGATAATGAAGCCAAAGGTAAGCTCAAAGACACAACATGGATTGGCCGTTGTCAGTGGAGCACTGAAAATGCTTGTTGATTTCAAAAGGGAAGCCCATTCAAGGTGCTCACAGCATTCAAGAACTCTGCGCCAAGCTCCAGAAACCCCGCAAGGTCATGATGCTGGTCAAGGCTGGAAAGCCAGTTGACGACTTTATCGAGCAGCTTCTTCCCCATCTCGAGCAGGGAGATTTGATCATTGATGGTGGTAACTCCCACTATGCTGATACCAACCGCCGTTGCCAGTACCTTCAAGAGAAGGGTTTCCTGTTTGTGGGAACTGGTGTGTCTGGTGGTGAAGAGGGTGCCCGATATGGCCCAAGTTTGATGCCTGGTGGTACTCCCGCCGCGTGGTACGTACTGGACCTGAAAGAAGAGGATTATCTCGCACGGTTCTCATGAATGTGTACTCGCTCCCAGGCCGTTGATAAAAAACATCTTCCAGGACGTTGCTGCAAAGACCGAGGAAGGTGAACCTTGCTGTGACTGGGTTGGTGAAGGAGGTTCAGGACACTACGTCAAGATGGTCCACAACGGTATCGAATACGGCGACATGCAAATTTTGGCTGAGGCCTACGACATCATGAAGAATGTGCTGAAGATGAACTACGATGAAATGGCACAAACGTTCCAAAACTGGAACAAGACAGAGCTCGACTCATTTTTGGTGGAGATTACAGCAAAAGTCTTGGCCTTCAAGGATGAAGACGGGAAGCCCTTGGTTGAGAAGATTCGGGATGCTGCAGGACAGGTATGAGCAATCTCCAAAGTCGTTAATTGTTCATTTCCAGAATTGAGCTGATGGGCAATGCAGAAAGGAACCGGTAAATGGACCGCCATTTCAGCCCTGGACCTCGGTATTCCCGTCACCCTTGTTAGCGAAGCCGTCTTTGCCCGATGCTTGTCTGCTGTCAAGGACGAGCGTGTCCAGGCCAGCAAGATTCTGAAGGGCCCTGAGGGCGTTCAGTTTTCCGGTGATAAGAATGCCTTCTTGGAAGACATCCGCCAAGCTCTGTATGCCGCCAAGATTGTGTCCTATGCGCAAGGTTTCATGGAATTGCGTGCAGCCGGAAAAGAGTTCCACTGGAACTTGAACTTTGGTGGTATTGCGTTGATGTGGCGTGGTGGATGCATCATCAGAAGGTGAGATCGGCGCATTTATTTGCCAATGGACCTGCACTAGGTATTCACTGTGTTCGTAGTGCATTCCTTCGGGATATCAACAACGCGTTCAAGTCCAACCCCAATCTTCTCAACTTGTTGCTGGACCCTTTCTTCACCAAGGCCATCCACCGCGCACTTCCCCACTACCGTCGTGTCGCATCCCAAGCCCAATTGCTTGGTGTGCCTGTTCCCGCCTTGACATCAGCTCTTTCCTTCTACGATGGTTACCGTTCGGCCAGACTTCCTGCTAACCTTATCCAAGCACAGGTACGGTGAAGTTTTCTAGTGCTTCGAATACTTTATTAGCGATTCTAACTATTCTATCTAATTTTAGCGGGACTTCTTTGGTGCGCACACGTTTGAGTTGGAGGACAAGCCTGGTACTTGGATCCACGCCAACTGGACCGGTCACGGTGGACGTGTTGCCTCCTCCACTTACAACGCTTAAATAAAGCGGTGTATTGTACAGTTTTCAATTGTGATGTAGCACATATCGATGTCGGGAGCTTTTACATGATATGAATTATACGAGCTATTTTGGTTACAGTTGGATTTGCCTTTGGAAGACATTGTGACCGCGAATTTAGCGGCAATATCAATGTTTTAAGCCAAACAGGTGTTAGCGATGGTTGCATGGGTTATTGAACAACGCCGTCGAATGCATTTGCTGGCAAAAGCTCTCCCTGCTGGCACGCAAGAAAGGACAAGATATCAATATTCATTGTTGCACTACCGCCGCCAATGTGGAGATACCTCAGTGAACCATTCAATCATCTTTTTCAGAAACTTTCCGCCCCTCTCGACCGTTTCCGAATCACCAACGAGACAGACGTGACGTTTTGCCCGCGTTATGGCCACATTCAAGCGTCGTTCTTCTGATAGGAATCCGACTTGTCCTTCACCGTTGGAACGAACCAGAGAAAGGATGATGGCTTCTTTCTCTCGGCCTTGAAACCCGTCAACTATTTTTTGAACGCTTTTAGTTCAGAGAAACTCTTCAAATACCCAGTTACATGCAGATTAAGTAACCATTCACCTGATCCAACCTCCATACCAACATACTTGCTTTTAAGAAGAGTCCGTATCAAATCCACTTGTCCATTATAAGGTGTAATAACGGCAATTTCCTCGGCCCTCACACCAGAACGGACAAGACTCGCCACATAGGCGTCAACAATTCTCGCTTCACCTTCATTGTAGCGGGTCTCCCCGTCCTCTGCTACTGATTCCCACATGTCGCATCCGGCAGTATCAATGAAAACCAGCGGTGAACGTGTGTCCTCGGTTGATTCAACATGAGAGAGGTCGCTCAAGACTCGGGTGCGCACTGAAGGGTGCGACTGGAGAAGGTTGGAATACATGGCGGAGGATGACCATTGCATGATGGAATCGTGCATACGGTATTGGGTGTTGAGAAGTCGTTTTATGCTGTCTCCGTGGATTTCGAGAAGGCGGTCAAAAAGCGTTTTTTCGAGGCCGTTCTTGACTGCTTTAGGAGATTTCACAGTTGGGGGCAGTTGCTTGTGGTCTGATAATGGTGATGAGATGATGAGTGAGCCGTGCTTTGCATGAGGTGTGTCCAGATGGGGCGTACTCACCGCCTGCTAGTATCGCTTTTGGTGCCAGTAGTAACGCAATCCATGTTTCAGCCTCCAATGCCTGTGTGGCCTCATCTACCACAACCACGTCGAATGGCTTTGCTTTCCGCACGTTCTTTGATCCAGCTCCATTTAATGTGCAAAGCACGATTTTCGCCGTGTCGATTAAATTTCTTAATGCATTCTTTTCTCGTTGTTTAAGCTCTTTCCGAAGATCACGATTCTGTTGCCACATTGCCTTTTTTTCGCCCTTGTTTCTTGTTTTGGACATTTGTTTTAGGTTTGCGTCAATTTCTTTGCGAATATCTGATACCAAGCCTGCTGCGTCCGAGTTTCTCAGTTGGATGTCGAGGGTGGAGTCTAGGACGGTGGGTAAGACGCGGGCGGGGTGGCCAATGCGGACCATTGGAAGACGGGCTGAGGAGAGGCGCTCGACAATGTTGTCTGGTGTTTTGATACCAGTATTCTAGATCAGCTAGTGTTTGGGATAATAGTATAACAGTTTGTAAAATGCAAATAATCCGACGTACCCACAGAAATGTTGGAAGGCCCACATACGAGAACTCTTTTTCCATCTTTCACAAACTGACGTACAATCTCCACCACCGTTTCTGTCTTGCCGGTTCCTGGCGGTCCATGAACCAACGCAATCTCATTAGCACTCTGAGCAAAGCGCACGGCTTCTTTCTGGGATTCGTTCAATCGATCGTTGAAAAAGTCGATGACGTTCACTGATTCGGCGAACGTTGGGGATCGTTGGCCCAATAGGACTTGGTGGAGAGCTGTTGAACGGGGCGTTGATATGGTGTCTTGCAGCGCCTTGAGGGCATCTTCCATGCGTTTGTATGTGACATTGTTGGCTAACTTGTTGCTTTGCAAAAAGTTAAAGTCTGAAAAGAATCCAACGCATAGCATGTCGCCGTTCAGCTGGGACTCACATCCGCCAAACCCGTCCCTCTAATCCACCCGGTCGATCTTCCTTGATCGCTACACATATCCGTCCCTCTTCCACTCGAAAAACCACGCCGACAACATCTTCTCCACTTTCTTCCTTTTCTTTTCTACCACTTTTGACATACTCACATACTCCAACTACATCTCCTACGCGGAACAGGTGGGCCGGCAGAGCTTCTTGCGGTCCTTCGAAATCTACCAGTAACTTTCCTCCAAGGCCGGTTCGTGAACCAGTTATTCGGAGACCAAGGAGACAGAGACCACGTTTTTGGAGGGCTGAGGGTGTGAGTTGGGCGAGTTGGGCTTGGGTTGAGCTGATTTCGTGGTCGCGTTCCAGTGTAATGAGGTCTGCAAGCCGAGATATGTGGGTCGTTGGAGATGGGTCATCTTTTGAAGGAGGCATCTGCAGTGAATTTTCAAGAACTTTTGGAGAGCAACGAGAGAGAGGGTGGTAGTCTGATCATGACTGTGCCGCGCATCACGTCAGCGTTTATGCCCAGGTGTTTTTCACTACAGCGCACTCATCAACTAATGTTTGCCATTGCATAGACTGCCAGCATCATGAACGATAAGAGAGTCTCAAGAAATACAACTGAAATGTTAAGGACAAAAACAAGTAAAAAAAAAACTAAAACTAAAACTACAAGATACGCACAAGAGTGTGTAAAGAAAATTTACATGAAAGAACCCACAGTCCCAATCATCGTGGCCACTCCTTCACAACTTCGCCTTAACCTTGTCATCCACCTTAAATAACGCCTCAATCTCCTTCAAAACCGCCTCATCCTCAATGGTGGCAGGCACTTCATACTTCTGACCATTGGCGATTGCCCGTAGTGTTCGACGAAGAACTTTGCCGGATCGGGTCTTTGGCAAACGCTGGACAATAAAGCATTTGTCGAAACAGGCAATCGCACCAATCTGAGAGCGAATGGCGCGCGTGAGATCAGAAAGTATGGCGGCGTGGGTGGATGTTGTGCCGTTTTTGAGGACGATAAACTGCGAAGGCAAGTTGGTCAATTCTTTGTCATCATGTAGCATACCTATGAAGTATACTCACCCCAAGAGGCTTTTCGCCCTTGAGCGCATCTTGAGCACCAATAACTGCGCACTCTGCGACATCCTTGTGGCCAGCTACAATCTCTTCCATAGCACCCGTGCTCAAGCGATGTCCCGCAGTGTTGATGATATCGTCGGTGCGGCTCATGATACTTACATAGCCGTCCTCGTCAATTAACCCGGCATCAGCTGTGTCGTAATAACCAGGGAATTTCTTGAAATAGCTCTTTACATAGCCATTGTGGTTCTTCCACAAAGTTGGGAAAGTACCGGGGGGAAGAGGGAGCTTGACAGCGAGAGTACCAAGCTGCCCAGGTTTGGCTTCGACGTATTCGGTGTGGTGGTCGTCGTCTTCGCGAACAACACCGCCAGCAGAGACAAGCACCCGAACGTCGTACCCAGGAATCGGAGGTCCGGCAGCGCCAATCTTTGTTGTGGAAGACAAGTCAGGGGAAGTCATTTCGCAAGCAACGGTCATTGGCCATCCAGTCTCAGTTTGCCACCAGTTGTCCCGAATAGGTATGTTGAGCATGCGTTGGTATGTAGCGACCGTGTCGGGGTCCGATCGCTCGCCGACCAAGAACAAATTCTTGAGGCTACTGATGTCGTACTTTTTGATAAGCTTGCCCGTTGGGTCTTCCCTCTTGATTGCACGAATAGCCGTTGGTGCTGTAAATAGAGACTTTGCGCCGTACTCTTCAACAACTCTCCAAAAGGCACCAGCATCGGGAGTGCCAACCGGCTTGCCTTCGTATACTACGGTGGTGCATCCTCGGATGAGAGGACCGTAAACGATGAAACTGTGGCCTACAACCCAGCCCACATCGGAAGCCGAAAAGAAGACATCGCCAGCATTCAGCCCGACAATGTGCTTCATTGTCCAGTTAATGGCCACAGCATGCCCGCCATTGTCGCGAATAACTCCTTTGGGAACACCCGTACTGCCAGAGGTATAGAGAAGATATAGGGGGTCAAGAGCACTGACGATGGTGCAATCTGCTTTTGCACCGCGGGATTCTGCCGCCGCCACTTGCGCATGCCAGTCGAGCTCACCAGCTGCGGCGTTAATCGACTCTGGCGCTTGGGCTCTCTGTAAGATGATGCGCGTCTTTGGCTTGTGCTTGCATAGATCAATCGCGGCCTGCAGCATGGGCTTGTACTTGATAATCTTGTTGGGTTCAATTCCGCATGTCGCAGTGAGAATGATATTTGGTTTGCAATCGTCAATACGCTTTGCCCTGTGCGCCACGAACGTTTAAGTATGCGTAATCGCTCAATATAATTGCAAGTTGCGTGACCCAGACTTACAATTCCTTTGGCGCAAATCCACCAAATACAACGCTATGAATAGCACCAAGACGTGCGCATGCCAGCATGGCTACTAGTGCTTCGGGGACCATGGGCTGGGGAAGACGGCAATGTCAGCGCACAGTTTCAAAGTGTATTTTAGTTCAGAAACACTCACCATGTAAACGATAACGGTATCACCCTTTTTCACACCATGATCTTGGAGAACGGCGGCAAATGTCGCTACCTTGTGCAAGAGCTGCTCATAACTGATGCGCTCTTTGCGATTAGTCACTGGGGAATCGTAAATGATGGCGGATCGACTGCCATTTCCAGCAAGAACATGGCGATCGAGGGCATTAAAGCACGTGTTGAGCTGAGACGCAAGCGAAGATTGTATAAACAAAAGAGTTGGATCGTGATTATTATTGGCATGATGTGTACATACCTCTCCGGTGGGGAACCATCTGTATCCTGGCTCACCATACTTTTCTACATTTGTGTTCAAGAACCTTGTCGCACTTGTTATGCCATGTGATCTCATCTGCAGCGCGCGCCCAAAATCCGATCGGATCTTGCAAAGACTCGCGATGCAATTGTTCCTGGTAGGGCGCTAGGCTGTTTCTAGCGGCTGCCGTGTGAGGCATTTGTTGAATGTTGCGGGATGACTTTTGCGTGGGGGTAATGTGGGTAGTAGCGTGGTTCTGCATGATTTGGCGCTTATGTCGTAAAATGGACGAGCAAATGTCAGAAAACAAGGGTGCGTGAAGGTAAACAGGGCGAGATACGGGCAAGGATAGCAGCACGATGGACGTGGGAAAAATATTAAAGACGAAAAGGCGACGAGGACGACGGGGGAACATCCAAAGAAGCAGCCTTTATAAATTCCTTTGCAAGTAACACTCAGCATATCCGCCCAGAGGCAAAGCCAGCCGCCCACCACGTCGATCTTGTGTCACAATAATGTAATCAGACTCTGCAATATGACTATAATAGGAAGGTGAATCATCCCTGTATAACATGAGACACGTGAGGTGGACAGGTGTGAAAAGCGTCATTGTTGTGGGAGGCAACATGAGATGGAGTTGTGACACTTTTTATTCACGAAGCATAAGGTTAACGGTTTAAAACGATATTTTTAAAACAAAGCAAACCATTGATAGGAACCATGGTGTGGATATGGAAAGGTTATTCTTGTTGCAAGTAACCCCATGGTATCCCATGAGCGGTCATTGGAATCATACGCAGTCATACATTGTTGATTATTGGGCAAAATGTCTCGCAGGTCACCGTCAGAACTGAGAGCACAGGAAAGACACTCTTCTGCCACCACACAGCAAAACAAATATCACACAAAAGTAATAGTCAAGCAGGGCCAGTGGCTAATTACCTTTTATCTGTTATCATAAACGGGATACGTATCGAGTGTACGATGGCATATTGCTTCCTGATTTTCCTCTCTGAAAAGACCTTTTAAATTGATCATTTCCAATGTCTTTACAAGCCCTTGGCAAAATCCTCTAATAACTCAGTTTTGTGCGAGCGTGGCAGTCTGCACAAGCCATTGTCCTTCTGTACTGTTTTCTCAAGTTGACTCTGTAACGATTCCCTTTCGATGGAAGCAACAGAGTATCTTTAATATCATTGTCTTGGGTTTCTGCGTGTAATGCGAGGAGAAGCAATGGAAATAGTGGCTGCCAGCTTGAATGCACACTCCGCGGCATTACATAATCATCATTAATCCACAGTAGAATGTAATTCACGTGAGTGGCTCGAGTGTGTAGGCGGTTCGACGGCGTGCGGACAGCTGAGTTGGGTTCAAACATCCTGGGCCAACACAACAGGACGAGCGGTCATTTGCAGCAAGCGATTCGAAAACGACAACAGTCGGCAGCAAAACTTACGTGCGGCTGTCAATTGTGAACGCAGCAGTATAGAAGGGCCCACGTACGGTCCTCCTGTCACGCACAAATACTCTGACACATTGGGTGACTGCACGTATCCTGTTACACTTGTCGGTGGTGCTGTCGCCGCACGCATTCTTTTCAATACTCCAAGCATACAGAGCAATTAGAACTTGGACGATTTTTCAATACTGAAAGACACTCGTATCCTGTCGCAACGGCGACGTCATCCGAATGTCCACAGCACCGACGGGTAATGACTTCAAGCAATCTGGATGACGCGGTGTATGCGAGCAACGTCACAGATAAACGCTCGCTGCCCCAAAGCTCACAAGAATCAAAAGAAACCGAAAACCCTGCTCAACATTTGGGCCCATCAAGAAGAGCAAAACCTAGAAAGTTCGGGTATTTGACGCTGGACGTCGGTACACCTCTTTGGGACGCCTTGCCACCTTCATTACTCGCTCGATTAGATGCACAGATGACGGAGGATGGCACAGACCACGATGAGATCAGACCGCTCTCTTTGGCTGAAAAACAAAAGTCTGCAGAATTCCGGGCAAGGTCCATTTCGACACCGGATTTGGTGGGAACAAGGCCAGGGCCAGCCAGAGATAGAGCAGCAAGTCATGGGATGAGCGGGGGAATGTCTCAGGTCCGTACTGGTGCAGGTTCTGGAGTTAATAGACGACTGAGGTCAAGGTCAGCTCCATCAACCAACGTCCTGGATGTCATGGCCGCAGCCCGCGAGGGCGCGTCGACATTACATGAAAGACAAGCACATGATGCAAACGGGGGCCTAACTACTACCTATTCACCGCAACTACCCTCACTGCCCGTATCTATTACGTCGCAAAGCGTTCCAGTGCCTAGTTCCCTTCCATCACCACCTGCCGCTGGTAATCCACCATCAGAGCCCTCCACGATCGTAACAGCCCAAGATTTGCCCGCACCCACTACTGATCCAGTATCGCTTCCCAAATCACCTCGACCTGAACCCCCATCCATTGATACCAAGCTTGCCGTCACCGCTCCGTCAGCAATGCCGTTATCAGCTGATGCTCAAGTCCGAGCAGAAAAATCATGGGACTTGGATATACCAACGGTTCAACAGCAGATCATGTCACGTCCAAGTTTCAATTTGCAAAGAGATACACCAAGTATGGGACGACCTGCAATGGATCACGGTCATTTGACAGATGACGAGGAGTATTACGAAAAGCCAGGAAAACAGTCTTTTTGGGCCGGATTTCGGGTGAGTTTACTGTTTGATTAGCAACTCTTCTTGATCACGTTTTGGCGCATAAGCAGTGGTTAAAGTGGTTTAATGGATGCAGCGATCGTTCAGCGCAAATCTTGCAAAGCTACGAAATTCAAAAAGTGGCGTGGAATTTCCACAGCATCCACCTGCTGGTTCGGTCGGATCGGATTATCATTCAGGCCAAGGGGACCCGTCTGGCCAGGGTCCTGGCCTTCCCGGAAAACATGAGGTATGGTAGCTTTTCTAATTCACCAGTGATAGCCATACGTCTTAGATTCTTGGCACGCCTAGGGTATTAGCAGGTCAATATCGGACAATAGCATGCCGAGATATTCTCCATCAAAACCCCTTCCAGAACTTCCAAGTGTACCGGAACAGCCTAATTCTGTTACTCACGCACGAACATCACACAAGCCAAACTCACCATCTTCTCATGGCCATTCGTCGAATGGCTTACCCCAAGCACAACCTATCAAATCATTAGAGTATCGGCGCGGGCGCTCAAACTCAGCAGCAGCAGCATTACCCCCTTCACCGTATGCGGAGGCCATTGCAGGTCATTCCTCATCTCATCCTGCACGAGTATATCCAATACAAATGACTGGCGGCGACGATGCTGAGCAAATTGCTCTGCTTATTCGCAAGCACAAGGAAGCCAATGTAGATAGACTGACTGGGTCAATGTCAATACCACGACGAAGTAGTTCGTATGTTCCCAAGGGAACTATGGAGGGGAAGGCAGGAACTTCCTCATCATCATCAACTGGGGAGATGGGGGTTTCAAATGACGCTTCTCGGCGAACTAGAGTCGATTCGAGTGAGGAGGAAAAGGCGGGAGGATCCGCTGTATCGAAACAGTCGAAGAAGAGTTCTCGTGAAAGACAAAAGTCAACCATGGGGGAGCAAGACGCTTCATACGGGACAGAAGCTCTGAGCCAGGAGGTTGAACCATTATCGTCACCCGATGTGGTAGTTACACACTATGATGGTGAGCCGTCACTGATGATGCCGAGCGAAGGCTTGACGAACGCAGGGGAGAAGTCGCTCGAATACCCATCGCCGGCGCAGCTGACCGACACATCCCTAGTCGATAGCCCAAGAACGCATGTTTCAACAGATTCGTCGCCTTCAAAACGATATCGTGACATGGACCCAGAACTCGTCGGCAGACTACTCTTTGAGGATGCTTTGCCGGAGATACCATTGGAGAAGGTGTCGGAGATTATAGGAAAACCGTAAGTTTCATTACAGTCTCTATCTGCGATGCTTTTAACAACCAATTCAATCGCATATCAGGGATGACTATCACAAAGCGGCATTGCAAAGTTTCATCCAATGCTTTGACTTTACTGATCAGGATGTGGATGAGGGCTTCCGGTTAGTAGCTCGATAATTGCGGTATTCTGGGAAACTGTGCTGAAATTTGGAGTATGCTCGTCAATTATAGGGCTTTTGCAAACCACTTGTTTGTCACGGGAGAGAGCCAAGTTATCAACCGGATTCTTACCGCGTACGCGCAGCGATACTGGACATGTAATCCGCGACTTCATTCACTTTACCCTAACTATGGTACGTGGACTTCGCCTCCGCAGATGATCCATGTTGGCAATGTTGGCAATATTCTGACAGACCACAAATCCAGCACTGGTGGATAGCATAATGGCATCTCTAATGATGCTCAATACCGATCTTCATCGTGCCAACATTGGAGCTCGTAGTAGTCAGAAGATTACAAAGAAGCAATGGGTGAATATGGTCTTGGAAGGCCTGACTGCTCAGGTCAAGGAACATGGTGCGATGAATGGCGAGGAAGGACGAGATGCTCTGAAAAAGTGGACGAAGGCAATGGATGTGCATCTTCGGGTATGATACTTGAAACAAGATCACTTTGGATGGCCCGTAACCACATATATTGATTTTCGTTTCTTGTAGCGGATTTATGATCGAACCGCGAAACAGCCATTACCACAGCGAGAGATACCAAAACCTGCCAGTGACATTTCACCCGTAGATCATCTCGACAGCGCTCTTTCTTCGCCAGAGGGCACCCCGACATCCCCCACGTCCCCTATCTTATCCCGATTACGGCGTGATGAGTCTTCTCTATCTCTGGCATCAACCATGTCCACAGGCACAATGTTTTCCGTCTCAGAAAAACGAAAGGGAACGATCAGCTCATTTATGCTGAGGAGGAAAGGGGATCGAGGTGATATCCGACACGTCTTTTCAAATGACAGCATAGGCCCGCAACAACCTCTTGCGCTTAGTTTGGATTCCCAGCTGAATCTTGCAGCTGGGGTTTCCGGGTCAACACCTCCATCCTTGGGCAGGCACTCGACCACAGGCGCAATGTCTCAACCACGGAGCAGCTCTAGCAGCTGGGGAGCTGGCAGTCCGTCCCCAGCACGCTCCTCACCTGTAACGGATATTCAGTTAGAAGGGCAACTGATACGAAAGCACCTAAAGGAAAGGGATGAGGTGAAAGCCAAGCACCGGAAATGGATCAAATTGCATTGCGTGTTGCAGCTTGATGTCCAAGCGGGCACACTCGAGCTTTGCATGTATAAATTGGAAAGAAACACGGAGAAAGACAATGCCGGGTTTGTGGCCGGAGGTATGGAAGGGGAGTCGTTGCCGTTAAGAAGGGTCGCGACTGGGGACAGTACGGGGCCCAATACGTGGCTTGGCTCAGGTGGGGAACGGATCAGAGTCAGTTCGGATAGTGCTATTCGAGGGGTGGTGAGTTTTTGGCCGTGCCTGTTACCGTGCTGAAAGTTATCAGTCGTGAAGAGAGTGTTAAATTTGTTGTCTTTGTCACAGCCTCGTCTCGCATCACAGCCACCACAGACGTTTAATTTGCTGCACTCGCTGGCAACTCCGCTTCCACCCCCTGGCTATTCTCAACAGCGACCGCATGTGTTTACTCTACGGTTGTTTGATGGCCAGATCTATCTTTTCCACGGTTTCAATGCTGAGGTCGTCCGAGAGTGGGTAAAGACCATTAATTTCTGGGCCGCAAGGAAAAGTAAGGAGCCTTTCCCAGGTAGCGGCGGAAATACAGAGTATGGGTGGGGGCCCATTGTATGGGAACGTGCTCAGCAACGACAGCAGGAACAGGAATTGGAACATAGGGAGAGTGGAGAACGGAGCAGCGGGGAGGGAGTCTCTCCGTCCAGTCTCAGTCCACAGGTGGCTAGCCACAAGTATGCGTCCAGTATGAGGAGCTTCACGAGTGGGGGGAGCACGGAGAGTGGACGGAGTGTGGCAACCGTTCCAGGTGTAAGTGGATTCCATGGCGACGAACCGGTGACTACAGGGCGACGTCACAATCGGAGGGGAAGTAGAGACATTGATAGAAAGATGAAAAAGATGAAAATCAGTGAGTGGATGCCGCCCGTGCCGTTGGGTAAGGTCATGAGCACGGCAACTGAGGTGAGTGCTTAGTGTTCGCACTCGTGGTCGAAAGGGGTGGCCTGACCGGCTCTTTTTGGTGTATTCGTTCTGCAGGAAGCTCAGCTGGAAGTGTGGAGACGACAGCAGGACATTGTATCTCGGGATCTTGAAGAGCATTCTAGCTATCGGGATCCAATGGAAAAAATGGTATGTCTAGTGCCATATTTTTGGAATTGGTGGCTTGAACTTGCTTGACATTCTTGCCCGACAGTATGCTGGATATCCTGCTCTCAGACAGAAAGCCACAGCGAACTGGATGCGAAAACAGCGTTGGTTGATGCGTGAATACGAAAAGTACGGAACCTACGCGCAAATGTTGCGGGATTGTGTTGATGAGCGAAGTGCGATGAACGTCTCGGCAGCCGCCGCTGTCAGTTCGTCGTCGGCTTCCCCTGTCCATGATCTCCCTGTTACTCCTGCTCAACCGTCCAGACGGCGGGCGAGTGTAGGGTCTACATCTTCAGAATCTAGGAAAGCACGCGGTGCCGCATCTCCAAATGAAGCGCCTCAACCTAATTTAAGCGAAACTCGAGGCAAAGCAGGAAGTTTGGACATTATCCGCGAGGTGGGCGGTGACGATGGCGGCGTGTCGACAGAAACAAAGCCCCGCCCGAGAAGACACAGTTTGGGACGATTATTGGACTTTACGCCGCCCCTGATTTCACCGCGTGCATCAAGCGGCAGTGGTGGGGCAGACGACAGTGCCAGAGCCCAAGTGGAAATTGAATCAGAGAATGACGCGAGCCTTCCTCTGTCTCCGATTGGAGAAACTCGCGACACGTTATGGAGCAATGATTTTTCTAGGCAGAGTGAGGAGAGTTGGAGGACTGCGTTGACTGGGGCGGACAGTGAGGACTAGACCTTTTTTTTGGAACAATGATTTTTGGGTTTAGTTGGCGAGCTTCAAGGTCACATGTGTATAATTCTTAGATTTTCCAATGACAGTTTTCTATTTGTTTGGCATTTGGTGGATGAAAGTGGATACTAAAGCTTTGCCTACATCATGCATTGTTGGGAGACTGTAGCGTCTGTTGAAGAAAATACCACCAGAGGATCTGGAGCAAATGATGAATGGTGATCCACGTGACTGTAGGGCAAGCGATGACGCCCCCCCAAGCAAGCCGCTGAGTTGCAACGCCAGCATCCTCGCCATCTTGTCCATAGACAGGCTCACTAGACGCCTTCCTTTTCAGCTTGAGGCCGTCTCGGGCAGCGAACCAGCACCTGTTGGTGTTTGTCTTGATCGTTGTGCGTAGTCCTTCAAGATGTCAACCAGGACGGAGCGCATGTCCGATAAGGCTCAAAACGAGCGGAATGCCAAGCTTCTCAAAGAATTGATGGCTCGAGCAGACAATCGTCGCTGTGCAGACTGCCGTAAAAAGGATCCTCGATGGGCTTCGTGGAATTTGGGCGTGTTCGTTTGCATTAGATGTAGCGGGCACCATAGGTCCTTGGGAACGCACATCTCTAAAGGTAAGTTGCTTATCTGGGCGGATTCCACTTGGAGAAAGGATGGCAGCAGAGGCTAAACACCATTCGTTATGTTTTAGTTAAATCTGCGGATCTTGATTCTTGGACGGAAGAGCAGGTTCTCAATATGGCCAAGTGGGGTAATGCTAAAGCAAAGTAAGCAAGCACGGGCTGTGGACTGTACATTTCACGTATCTGATGGTACTCACAATGCTCTTTGGAAATAGTCAATATTGGGAACATGATTTGCCTTCAAACTTTACGCCTCCCGAAAGCAACATTGATCATTTCATTCGGTCAAAGTATGAAAGAAAGCAATATGCTATGAAGGGACCGGTTCCGGACCCGGAGACGTTGAAGCTTCCGGATGGCGTTTCTACCACCCCTGCTAGTGCAGCTACACAGCCCAAACCAGTCGCTGTTTCCGCCGCTCCAGCCGCTCAAGCTCAGTTTGCAAATTTTGCAGCTGCCCCGGCTGCCCCAGCTGCCTCGACACCGGCCCCATCTGCTGCACAACAGTTGTTTGATGCTTTCCAGTCACCACCACCACAGCAGCAACCGCAGGCTCAACAGCAACCGTCTCAAGGAGATTTGAAGAACTCTATTCTCTCACTGTACGGTAATGCTGGATCGTCGGCACCAAGTAACCCTGCGAACATCTCAGCGGTTCCCGGATTTGGTAATTTCGGTGCATTTCCACCACAACCCCAGCCAGGAGGATTCGGTGCGTTGACATCACCACAACCGGTATCCAACACTTTTGCTGGCTTTCCGCCCTCCAATACTGGTTTAATGTCACCAGCTTTTGCAAGCGGCTTCACCAGTGCACCAGTTCCGTCTCAGTCGCCACCTCAGAATCAACCCCTTGGTGCCCAATTTTTTGGGGCTAGTCCCGTACAGAAACAGCCTAGTACCATGGGAGGGATACCGGATTTTGCGGGATTTAGCTCAGCAGCTGCTGGACAAGGAGCGCACAACCAAGGGCAAGCCAACCCTTTGGGGCCTACGTCCGACGATTGGGGCGCTTTCCAGTAGTATCTAGCGGCAGTTGTTGGGCTTTGGTGTTGTGACCAACGTTGATCTGTCATGCACAATAGATGACAGATACCGATTTGCGTGCAGTGTTGATACACTTGTCACTACTTTGCTTTGAGTAGCTCTTGCACCTACGGCCTGAACATTATCTACAACGTGACTTTCACATTTCTATTAACTGTTAATAAACTCATTAAGTACTAATTAGAAACAAGAGCATGCAGTGAATGCATGTGATTAGGATGATGCTATCAACAAATAATGTTAATATAATCCGCTCGCTCGTCCCGAAGCCATTCCAGCCCAGGCTCGCGATGCTTAAGGTGGTTTGACGCTATTGTAGACAGGTAAGAGCTAGTCCAGATGCAGCATACAAGGTTATTCAGTTTACCTGGTTCTCCTGATTTCTCGCGACTCTGTTCGTCCTCGCTAACTCTTTGATCATTTGTGTCATCATCATCACCGCACTCATGGGCAGCGCGAAGAACAAAGCAGGACGAGCAGGCGTGACAGCGAAGGTCGATTTCATGTACTTTTGTTCCATTAATTGTCAACGTTTTCACTCCGCACACTATGAAAAGTAATGAGAAATTTGTGGTTGATCTTGGGGCGTTACTTATTCAACCCTCGGTGAATGCGCATACCTATCATGTCACAAGTATTGTGCTGAGATAGCTGGGTATGACTTTTCTCAACGGTATCCAATGATGTATCTTCCCCAGCTGCTTTCTGATCTTTCGCTTCATCACTTGTCTCAACTTTGTCTTCGCTCTGCTCTGTCTCATTGGCGCCCCCAACGGCCGTAACCCAACCGCCACCATGTGCGTCCTTTAGAAACGATAGATTATGGGGATCAAACGACCCACGAAACGACGTCCACCCGTTTTCACGCGCCATCTTTTCCCAGATGTTGCGGAGGGTTTTAACAGAGACTGGTGTTTCGGGTGTATCTTCAGTATGACAACTTGAGTGCGTAGAAAAAGGTCGTAGATGTGGAGGTGCGGGAATAGCGAGATGGAGTGGAGTTGGAGGTTTGAGTTTGGGTGTTGCTGTAAAGGGCCGGCTGCGGTATGGTACGCTTGTCGGTGTTGGCGATGATGGAGTCGGTGAGGATGGCACTGTGGTATGTGCTTCAGAGGTCCGCAAGAAAGGATTGTTTGCTGCATCTCGTTGAGGAGAAGCGGGTACGACTTTCTCGGCACTAGGGGCCACGGGGTTTGAGATCGTTTTTGCCAGATCGGCATCTTCTTGCAAAGTGGCGATAATCTCTGCCACCTTGCGTCGAGGTTGCTCGCTATTGGTTTCTGATTCTTTTGTTGTCGGTGAGACCGTTGCAGATGGTTTAGCAAATGTGTCGTTTGACGTCGAATTGTTCTTCACAGTGCACTCTTCTGATTTCGGCACCTCTGCCCGGAGATTTACCCCAGGTAGACGCCCACCATCTTCACCAGGCGAAGCTTTCAAAGGGCTTTTAACGGGTGATGACGATGAGGACCAGTATAAAGGCCGATCGGGAGTCACTGGTCTAACGCCCGCATGCGTTTTGTCATCTGCGCTTAAGCGGGCAAATTTGGAGGCAAGCACCGAGACAGGCTGATAAACCTCTTCCTCTTCAATAGGCTCAATGGGAGCGCGCAACATAGTGAAGAGTTTCTGGAGACTGATGGACGAAACTCTTAGTAGCAGCCAGTGAAAGCGACACGATCTGGTCTTAGTTGCGTTATTCCCCGATGTTACTAGTAATAGTCTAACTGGTGCACTTTTCGCATCAATACGCTTTTGCTCTGCCGGGCCTGACTTGATATTTCTTATGCACTAATATGCACTTGCCATCAATCAGCCGGTTATCAATGCAGTGCTGCGTTTCTATAGCATCGCTGCATCGTCCAACCATCTTGTTTGCCAGCACGCTCCGACAGGCTTACACTATCGACCTGCGCCCCAGTTGTGGGTGATTGCTTTACATAAGCCATCTGACTTCAGGACAAAACACCTATCAAGATAAAAATGCTACAGCCTCACTAGTAATACAGCATAACAGTACGGATTTAGTGAATCAGGCAAGAACGCCCAAAGGATCACGTTTGCGTGAAGCAGGGCCGGCTCTAAACGAGAGAATTGGCGATGTGTTCACAAGGATTAGGTTGCTGCTGCTGCGTGCTCGCATTATTCGCACGACTTCTGGCCATACCCACAGAATGCGACCTAAGGTAACTGAAGACTGTCAATGACTGGCATTTTTAATTCTAGCACATCCTGCAAAGCGACACTGTTCAAAGTCCGCCGGTGTGATCGAGGCGCTTTACGCGGATTTAGGACTCTGCTCTTGAAGTTATTCTTGCCAGTATCAGTTTCTTTTCCTATTCCACACTATACACCTGAATCCATGTCCAGTTCCGCTGGTCACATTTCTCAGTTCAGCTTCACTGCCATATGCCTTTCAGATGTCAAATAAAATAAAATCGTCCCTAAAGTCAAGGCATGGGGATTAGCTCCTCTACCTGCTTTACCCTAACCTCAAACCTGAAACGTAGGAATCCTCCAACTGCTAGATGACGGTGAGGCAATGCTTAATGCGCCTGCAGGATAACGATCCAACTTTCATGGCGAGCTGTATGGTTGCATTGTTCAGCCTTCCGATATGCACAAGTTCGGAAGTTCGGACTGGCGGATAATCCTCATTCGTATAAGACAGCATATCCATCAAAGAAGGCATCCAGTACAATATCATGCGGGCGCTCGCGTCTGGGAGCCTCCGAGACATCCTCATTATCCCTGATCCCCTTCTATCACCAGGGACCATATCTCGCGAGGATGGGGCAGGACCCACTTGTTGGGGAGTTATCACAATTATCGTCCGAACCTTATCTCAAGTAGCACCTACTCAGACACCTCTACGCTTTTAAAGGTGACAGGAATGATGTGGATCGGCGAATGGCTTGAAAGAGTTTACGTAAATCGCGGGAATTGTGGGGCCAACAACACTCGTTATACGCCCAGAGAAGATATTTTTCACGTCCATGCTCATATTCTGGTGTATCAAGACATGGTTGACTTGATAGCTTTATGACATTCGGACTTTGTTAACATCAGCTCCCCTCGTTCGCATTTTGCGGACGATCTTCTGGAGCTCATAAGGGAGCTAGAGATCAAAGCAAACTACCGTTGGTTGTGAAAATGTTCAGTTTCCTATCAATTTTCCATGGCCTTATTCATATAATCATCATGCCGCTGTAATTCATTCTTGCTGCGTTATTCCATCAGTACCACCCATCGCCTGAGTATTTTTGGTTCTATTACGACCTGCATCTGAAAGGGTCGGGCTGGTATACGTGCAGTCCATTTGCCATTGGAAGATTTGATGAAAAAAAGTGTGAAGCCGTGTACTGGACATGGTGAAGAGACGTGATTACATCAGCTTAATAAGGCCCATTCTAGAGCACCCAGTTCCGCGCTTCCTCTTGTCCGATCTGCATTTCGTTTGCAACATGCCACGGCGAACCACAGCCTTATACTTTGCAATAGGGGCGACTATAGGCGTAGTCGCAAACCATTACCGTCACATACGCTCAGTGCCAAATCCTCCTGATAACTTCCGCTCGCTTGTCACAGCCGGTTCAACATGGGGTCTTTATCACAGGCGATTGGATCGTCCGATAGTCCTCTCTCCTGAACCCACAACAAGCGCACTTCACAGCTCAGATTCCTCCCCATCACCAAATACTTCGTTGAATTTGCTTGTCAAATCGATATTGACATCCACTCCATATAAGCTCGAACTCGCGCTTTCCTCCCCATCTGAATCGTCGTCCGAATTTGATCTTTGTACCGGAAGCAAAATTGGGTACCTATCTTTGGAATCTCTACCCAGCAGCAACGAGGCTATTTTCCATTATGAGTATCCAGGTATTGATTTTAGGATGTATATATCAACTCCAACGCCTCGGGATATCTTGCTGGGATTTGTCGACTACAGTGGAAGTTTAACCCAGGATGTCGGGTCCAGAGTGTACACGCGCATGCTGTGCGAATCTGCAGCCAGAATGTTGGAAAAGGGAGTATGGGATTCGGAGTGACACCGCCCTCTCATAGTATGATAGTTACCTGGTAGATCTGGATGACTTTCTCATACTGTACATATAATGCAAGGCGTCAGAAAGATGCACGATTGAGTCATGATATACTATTACGAAAAGTGGTATGAAAATCTTGTAGTATTTGTAACTTCCCGATCCGGGCCGGTATTATGCCCTCCAATACTCTCAAGGGCGTCATGAAATGCACAATTTACAGTTTTGCCCTTAGGCGTCTCGGATCCGAAACGGCAGCAGCAATCTGGAAACATTCCAACGCTTCCTCCATCACTCTCTCCACCACCAATTTAGCAGGCCAAATACCTTTAATTAATCCAACGCCTTGACCGGCTCCCACATGGGCAACGTTAAAATCGCCTGACTGTAATGCTTGCTCATATTTGCTCTTCCATTCCTCAACTGGTGTTCCCGATTGAATTGATTCGGTCACATCGTTGCAGAGAACACGGAATGCGTAAGCAGAGGGCCATGCAGAGTAGCCTCGTAGGACGTCAAAGGCCGTGGTGCGCACAGTGGAACGGCCGCCATCGCGGGAAGCGACCAGGCAATCCTTCGCATTTGGGTGCATGGCACTCTCCGGGGTGGCGCAGAACCGGGTACCGATGACGATACCACTGGCTCCTAGCATAAGAGCGGCTAAAGGATAATAAATATCAAGTAGAGCGAACACAACATGCCTTTGCATACCAGCTAAATGCCGTCCGTCAGTAACACCACCTGCGGCGACGACAGGAACGCGATCTCCAACCGCATCGTTGATCTCAGGTACCAAGCAAAAAGTTGAAGCGTTCACCTTGGCGCCGTGTCCACCAGCTTCAGAACCTTGTGCTACAATAATATCAACCCCATACATTTCCACGGCCTCCAGGGCCTCTTCAACGGTTTGTACTTGGGCAATAACCTTGGTGTCCGGGGATCGCTCCCTGATCGTTTCGAGGAACTGACCATAGTTACCAAACTGAAAATGCAGCACGCGAGAGAAAGGATCACTCAGATTCCCGATGGGTAGCTTCTGTGTTCTGCTATGCGTCACTTACCGAGAACCAGAGTGCTGTTGGCTTCCATTCCAATGCCGCTTCCAGCAGGGCCGGATGCTTTTCTAACCACCACGTAATAAAGCCGATGCCCAACGCTCCGCCAGATTCTGGCTTGTAAGCTTGACTTGCTTGGCGCATCTGGTTGTGAATCCACTGTGGATCCGTCGCATAGCCAACGCCTAACAGACCTAGACTGCCCGTATTTGCGACAGCCGAGATGAGGGCAGCATGCGAGACGCCAGCCATGGGCGCCAGCACAATTGGGTTGGTTATGCCTAGGATAGACGTCAATTCCGTACGGAGGACCATTTTTTAGATGCGTAGGTACAGATGAGCAGACTATGGAGATGTTTGGTCTTAGTCATCTCATATTGTTAATCTACCCCGAAATGGGCAGAGTGGGAGGATTAGTCGCGCGAAAGTGGCGCAGTCGCAAGAGATGGGGTAAGTCAGCAATGGGTACCAACATCTGTTCAACGGTTTGCTTGCTGAGACGTCACCCGTTGATTCTCCTCCCAAGGCAGACGGCAGACCCATTGTTCCTGCACCCTAATACCGAATCTCACCATAATCAGACAGCCATATGCCGTGTACTTAGACGCGACCCACGCGCACTACCTATTGTAGGGTGTGTGTGATCCGTCGTGCTTCATCACTCTATTTCCACAGATGAGGAACTGCATTGAATTTTCTATTGATTATTCATCTACTAGGGACGGCGTTACTAATAAAAGTTGCTGATGAGACCCGTAACGATCGTTCCGCTCGTCGCCAGGAAGAGCATTGAGGAAACAAAAACATGTCGAATTGACGCTTGAATTTTCCTTTTGATTCTTTTGACCACACGCGGTTGGTATCTTGCGATGTAACCATGGTATTCTATCTGCTATGATAAGCTCCAGGAGAAGTTCGTTCTTCTGTGGACGAATAGACGGATTACCAGTGTATCCCAGCCAACACGGCCTTTTTAAAGCCACTTAGGGGAATCTTTTCTTGAACTTGAGTACTCTTAGAAAGAGGACATCCAATGGAGATGCCCTCGAATATAATTATTGTAAAGCAACCAGATTTCAATGCGAGTCAGCACAAATTCATCGTTTTCTTGCTGATGCGGCGCTGTTTACATTTACTGCTTCGGCGATGTTGCATGCCACGAGCAATTGAGATAACATGGACACGACTCTCGTGATGATGTCAATTGGAAAAGATCGCTTGCCATGGAGCGAAGACTGCGAGATTGCCTTCTTATGTCAACATCTCAATTTCCGATAGAGTAATCTCCAAATTTAAACAACTTACGAGTATGCTCCATTGACGTCTGCCACAGAATTTTTTAATGTTCATGCTAAAATACTACCCAATGCAACAAAAAAGAAAGAAAAATACACAAATATGAACACCATATTGTGCTGATTTGAAACATCTTCTAAGTCTTAGACCATGTACTGTATTGGACAGCAACGACTCAAAATTCGGCGCGGTTTAAATCAAATGTATTTACAACTTCATAACTTAATCATTAATGCCTCGACTGCCGAAAAATATATAACGTTGAGAAGTCCAACCCCCCTGCAAGAAGTACTTCAAAAACTAATAGGCATGTTCCAACACGCACAATCATTCATCAACATAATGGTCAAGCATCCGAAATCCCTCCATATAGATGAACACAAAACGACCTATCAAACCAGTATCAAGACACTGGAGAGCCAAGAAACGAATAGACCGCAGACAACAGCACAAACACTACACTGGCGGATGAGAGCTTGCTTGTGGCTAAATGAACCTCGCTCGGATCACCGAAGCTTGTCTGCAACTTTTCGGCCCGAGTTGCGAATTTCCTTGTCTTAGTAGATTCCGAAATTCGAACTTTTGCTTTGCTCAGAATTCTCGGCCTGAATGCACGAAAGTAGAAACTGCTGTCATCGTGAATTTGGCAAATCCCGGCTAGTAGTGATCAGTCGAAAGTTCGGGGTGACATTTCGCCCTCATGGATAGCCCTCAAAGTCTTGACAGTCCATGCCTGCTAGCGATATCTCCCGGAACCTTGACACATCTCCAACAGATACTATGCACAGATGATTCATACCGAGATGAATGTGCGATGCTCTAGAGAGAAGCACGATCGATGAAGAAACATAGGGTTAGCGACTGAACATAAACAAGCTTTGCATACAGGCAACAGTGCTGCAAAGGGCTCTCAGTACGAGAAATTCCTATTGAAAATGTATCTCAAAATTCCACATGATATCATCTCGGAAGGGTCGTTCATCAATGGACCCCTGCAGCAAAAATACGGCACATGAGTCGGATTTCTGCTCACCTTGTATCAATCCCTGCTTATGGTAAAGCCGTGGACAAGGAGGAGGTTGACAAATGGCTCAGAGGTTGACTCCTACTTCGCAGTCATCCCTACGCACATTACATCGGATATAGTCGCTTTGGGTGATTCTGCTCAGTATCCATGCCAGGGTTGATTCAGGCAAGTGGCTCTGCGGATTTCGGGTTTCATATCGCTGCCCATCGAAGCTTTTGAGTTTTTCTATTCTTACAAGTCAGATGATTCCCATGTGACCGCCCGATTCGAACCGTATCAGCATCACTTGGGCCATCCAAGGAGTCGACCTTGTTAACATTCAGCACAGACCATCTTTCATAATGGAACGCACCACGATACCCGTCTCGATAGCGGTCCACCGTCGTGCAGAAGGTGGACAACCATCAGGAAGTAATGGTGACCCAGGTACGCTAAGATAGAGACTGGTTAAGGCTGAGTGGGATAGAACTGGTAACTAATCCGTACCGCAGCAACGCACTTCACAAGTTCAAACTACACTCGAGGCTTTTTGCTCCTCCTCTTTGTGGGCTTGGCACTGTACGGAACCTATTTGTTTCTGAATTGGCGACGACGAAAAAGTGGCTATGCATCAAACCTTGGAAGAGGTCTACTGGGGCGGTTCGGCGGCGGGAATGAAGCTCACTCTACAGAGGGATACGATCCGTTATCAAATCAGCAGTTTGCCTTTGACGAAGAATTAGATCTAGAGCTAAATTCATACAATTTCGGTGGGGAGGCCGGTGCTCATCCTTATGGTGGTGTTAAGCTTCGAGCTGGCAGCTCAGCGGCCGGATGGGAAAAGGGCGTGTATGGTTATGGGCAAGGTGGGAGAAATGCAGGCCAGCAACCAGATGGTCATTCAACCCGGTCACGTACAACCAACGCACCTTCACTGGTTGCTCATCGGTCCACTCCTATTGAGACAGGAAATGCAGATACAGAAGACGCAGACGAACTCTTGAGATGGTAAGACAGCTCTGAGAGTTGTGTAGGATATCCGCAATTCATTATGCTTTACTAAATTATCTATCCTGAAAGGGCGGAAGCCAACATACCCAGCCCAACCTCCCCACATGTATGATAACGTAAAACCCTAGCTATTGAGATTCAAGTAGAACATTTGACTTGCATACCGGTCCGCCGTCTTCAAATGCCTTCCTACCCGCGAGGAATGATCCTTTCACTGCACGGCCGTCTGATTGGGAGTTTGAGCACGATTGTGTTGCACTTGTCAACAGGTTCCACTCGGCACGTGTTTCATATCAGCACGCGCCTTTATGTCAGCAATAGCTGACTATTCTCGCCCGCGTCGGCCCTTGGGATATCGTCCAGAACAATGAGACCAGTGCCGCCAGTCGTCCTCCGACTGATTGGCATGATGATTATGGTAGCGCTAACGATGAAAGCGAAGGAAACATCGATCTGTATTGTATATGACATAAATTACACATTATTGACGCGGTGTCTGAACAGGAAAGCAGCGAACTTTGTTTCTTTCCGATCCTTTTGTGGAATCATTGGGATTCCACTGGATTTTGACAATCCGGACGGTTTTGTTCAAGCAGGAAACAGACCATCACTAGCATATCCATCGCATAATGGCCAATAGTCGCAGTTGGCACATAGTGCCAAAAGTGCTAATGTTTGCCCTGTACATTATTCAGTGCAGTGCCCCATCCTATTTGTCTTTAATCTATCAACAGAAGATTGGCTTGTCTTCATCCTCTGTCGGCATTATATCGTCTATCCCACCGTTCGTATGCATTTTCGCTGGGCCAGCTTTGTCCCTTGTGGCCGATTTGACAGGCCGTCCTCGAGTTGTTCTCGCTACATCTCTGATTGCGACGACGGGAACATTATGGATGTTCGTCTTTCTCGAATTGACTTTTGCGTCAGCATGTGGAGTTGCCGTACTGTATGCAATCACAAGTGCTCCGATCGGATCGATGATGGATGTAATCGTCCTTACGATGCTTGGGGAAGAGAGTGTTCTGTAGGTATTAAATGTGACAGAGTCATTAACGAGAATTGGGTGTACAGCTAGTTGGAAAAGGCTGTTCAATGGCCGAATACAGTGCTGCCTTTCAAGCCTCGCACTAATTTCTACCGGCACATAGGTACGGGCAACAACGTGTATGGGGTTCCATATCTTGCGGCATCGTTTCCTTTGCGGGAGGAATGATTGTCGATAAAACAGGGACATTGAACTCAATCTTTTTTGTGCATACCATCATGTGTGGAGTCTTCCTGGGTCTGCTCACGGTGGTTTCTAAACCATGGAAGAACGGTCGCAGAAGGCCATCGGTGAAACCGAAAGACGTCGCCGAAGACCTTTCCAAAGCTGACATCAAACGTACGGCAATTGTTGAAGACCCTGACCTGACGGCAGAGGAGCTACGCGAGCAGTTTGCACTTCCACCTGATCAGACCGCTCGATCTCGTCGGACCAGTATCGTGGAGGCCGCTCGTCGCGCATCGCGCCGAGCCAGTATTGCCGCCTCACTGGGTATTGCTCCTGTGACACCGGAGGAACCAGAAAAGACCGGACCAACCTTTGGATGGCTACTGGCACCTAACGTTCTTGCCTTCTTTTTTTCTAATACCCTCCTCGGAGCTGTCTTCTCAGTCATTGGAAGCTTCCTGTGGATCTATCTCACGAACGAGTTAGATGCTAATGCAACAGTAAGAGGTCTTACGGGAACAGCTCAAGTGGTCCTTCAGTTGCCGTTTTTCTTCTTCGCCAAGCAGGTAGCGTGGTGACTTTGTGTTATGAAATAGGAGATACGAGATTAAAAGTGCATCGTTTTCAGGTTATGGGACGTCTCGGTGTACGATGGAGTATCATAGTAGCACACGTTGTCACTGTCATTCGGTTCATAGCGTATCCCTTTTTGAAGCCGGGACCACTGGTATATGCCGCTTTAGGGATTGAGATGCTGCATGGTACAGGATTATCAGTCGTACCGCAAATAATCCGTCATATCCTTTGAACTTTTTGTGTTTTCTAGGATTGGCATTTTCCATGAATTGGACCGCCTCTGTCTCGTACGCTGCAGGAGTCGCTCCTAGGGGAATGGAGTTCATGGCTCAGGTTTGTCAGGAAATCATCCAACATAACCTGCACATGCGGAGACTGATACTCTACATCTATTCTAAGGGTATACTTGGCGCATTTTACGGTGGTCTAGGCTCTGGGTTGGGAGGAATCATCGGTGGTGTGATCTACAGTAAATTTGGGTCTACTGTTCTGTTCTACGGATGTGCAGGCGTAACAGCTCTTTCGGGAGTTGTCTACTTCGTGGTGCCTCCACGAAAGATGAAAATGGACCGAGATCAGGTTCCCCCAATGGAGAGGGTTCTTGACAAGCAAGCGAGCAATAAACTTTTGGATATGGAAGAAGGACTGGGCGAGGTGGACCGTTCTGCCGCCCGGCGTCCGTCAGCTGTTGCAATGGCTATGAGTTCTATGGGCCGCAGAAACAGCATGATGAATGTGTAGTGGTGTCAATATTTGTACTGATTATAGGACCTATAAATGATTTCTTGACTTGCCCTTTTGCCCACCCCGAGGTTCGATCGGCACGTGTCGGAACCTGAAAAGCTGGAGCAGCTTATGTAATCCCAATACACGTGCAAAACTTCACTGGCGTACTGAAGCGTTGGCCATTGAAGCATTCTGCAGAGACGCTCAGTAGCCGGCCCGCCAATGTCTCTGCGACGTTTTTCAAGTTTCTTGGAGAATGCCAAAGCTACAGTCAAGTTGCCAAAGCGCTCTGTGACGGTGGTTCTCGGAAATGAAGCAGCTGGTAATTCTAGTGATCTGCCTGCGGAGTAGAATTTATGAACCCAAACTTACACCCGTCAATAGACCTTGATAGCGTCGTTTCGTCATTAACATACGCATTTCTTCGTCATACATATGATGTACCCCACAATTCTCAAACGAATAGACCGACGTACATCCCAGTAGTTGCCATACCTCGTGCGGACTTCCCCCTCAGAACAGAGTGCACGTTTGCGCTTCGTGATGTGTTCCCCACAGTAGATTTTCAAAGCATTCTCACTTTCCTCGATGACATCAATCTGGACGATCTGGCGGAAAACACCGATCTTTCGCTAGTGCTGGTGGATCATAATCGCCTGTCTCCATTTCTAGAAAAGTTTGCTGGTCATGTTACTGGAGTGTTGGATCACCATAAGGACGAGGGCTGCAATTTAGAGGCAAATCCCAGAATAATTGCTCCTGTCGGCTCTGCTACGACGCTTATAGTGGAAGAGTGGGCCAAGCATCTTACGGTCAATGGAAACGTTCAGGCAAATGCTCTGGAACCCGAACTAGCACGGCTTTTACTGGGCCCAATTCTTCTCGATACGGTAAATCTGCAGGTGGAGTACGGACGAACGACGGAAAGGGACAAGCAAGCAGTCGAGTTCCTTCTCCCATTCGTGAGAGGTGCCAAGATGTGCGAGGAGGACAACCGTGCATTCATGGACCAGCTCTATACTGGGCTCCATAAAGCAAAATTCAGCGTGTCTAACTTAACCTCATATGATCTGTTGCGCAAGGATTATAAGGAGTGGAATGTTGGACCCTTCCGTCTTGGAATCAGCAGCGTTTCTTGGCACGTGGGTAGTGAAAATGGTTGGGCGGTAAGGGACGGAAACGGAGACGAAAAGGCCGGGCTTATGCAATTGCGTGCATCATGTCACAGGTTTGCAGAAGAGAGACAGCTGGACTGCCATTTGCTTATGACTGCTTTTGACTACTCCATGGAGAACCCAACCTCATCGCGTGGTTTTGAGAGGGAACTCATGGTCTGTTTCGATGGGAAGCTTGCGACGAATGTGCAAGCGATGTCCCAGATTTCACTTGCGTTAGAAGCGTCGGAGTTACAGTTGGAAGCCTTGACTGAAGGAGAGTATTACAAACAGAAGAACATCACTTGCAGCCGCAAGCAGGTGCAGCCTATTATGCAACATATTCTTGAAAATATTGGCCCGAAGTTCTAGAGGCTATGCGGCATTGTTAGACTCCATTACTCCTATACTGAAACATGAGCGTTAATAGTACTCATCAATTAATCCGAGACGTTTATACTATACTTGGGATGCGCAAAGTTGTCATTGCTCAGTCTGGTCCTTGTTATATACTACATGGGACCCTGGGGCCAGGATTGCAATTTCCCGCCTTCTCATGTGTAGTTCGAGAATATGTGCGCATCATATACTCTAGGTGACTTTCTGCTCTCGCTTAGGTAATTGTGCACTTCCGCTGCACCCGTCTCCCGGCACATAGATGGTCACCACAATCATACACTGGGTATTAGCATCTTGACTATTTATTTTTCGTCCATAGTGGCTCGGATGGTATATTTCAAATTCACGTACTTGGATTGAAAGATTATGCAATGTCCCCGCTCAGATCCTCGAAAATCGACGTGATCGGGGCTAGTACTACTTTGTACCATGGACATTTTCATGTCCCCATTGTCCAGCGCCCCCAGTGCTGTCATTACGCTTTCAATTAGGGTATGTGCAGAGACGAAGTGATATTCTGCTCCGCTTGTCTCAGCAACACTCAACTATAGTCAAGTCGCCATATTACCGGGGATTCATTTAAACTCCGACGTTGATTACCCACATTTGGCTGTCGGACTTTCTCGTCAGGTGCGTGTTAGCTAGCAAAGATACAGATGGCAGCGTGGGCTGCATTATGGAGAGAGTAACCTCTGGGCTCCCAGTCGGGTGGGTGGCACGAGTTACTGGGAAGCATCCTTGTTGAGGCCTGGTCTGATTAAAGAGCCTCCCATTCACATCTGACCCTGATGCAATATCCCTTTATAACAACAGGGATACCTCTTCCAATAGCGCATGCCATCTCCTCCCAAGGCCGGTCACCCGACGTGTTCGCAAAGTAATCCCAGGCACTGTTGGCATCCGGCAGTTCAGTTGGGCGGTACTCGTTTATGGCGACCTCTTCCTCGAACAGACGACGGAGCAGCGCTGGCGCCGGGTTGCCCACTGGTCCTACCTCGACGTCTCAACCAACACAACTAAACCCAACTGGAGTATCTTCCGCCATCAACTTACATCCGCAATCGGCTTCCCCTGCGAGCGCAGACAGTGCTCCCATCCAACAATCCCCTACCAACTTAGTGCAAAAGAGTTCTTTTGCTTCTAACTCAACGAATTCCAAGTCTTCTCTTGGAGCCTCAGGTACGTAGCAGGATACCAGCGTATTGACGACTGGGACATGGAGTAACCCAACTGATTACTGTTAATGTGCCTGCAGATCCACTCGGAATCCCACTTAACCACGTTCCTGCCTCCCGGAGTACCATTGCCTCCCGGCTTAAAGGTGCTGACAGGGCAGGGGTAAATTCAAGTCTCATGAGCAGCGGCTCAAATATCGGCAGTGGAGGAAGTAGTATGCCCCGACCCGCAGCTGGCCAGCCGATTAGGGGGAAGCATGATGTTGGGGAGTCAGGCTGGAGACGGAGCGGCGTCCCTTACCCCAGGGATAACACGCCCGCGACTTCATCCAATAACCTTGAGTTTCCGGGAGCGGGAAATGGAGGCGGAGTATGAGCGGTTTTTTCTCGAGAAGCATCAGTTTGCATGGAGAAGGACAATGTATCTGCTTTTCTCCGCGGGTACCTGCTTATATGCATATGTTATGATTCGGAGTCCTACGGATGGAGAAAACTGGGAGCACAATTATTCGAGGGAAGCCAAAGGGAGCATAATGGAGAAGGAAATCGGTGCTGCATGCCCACCTGGGTGGTTTTGGTATGTCCAATGGTACAATTCTCGATCCGGACAGTTTGCTCACTTGTTCATGTTTATTAGCATGCAATGTGATCCCGACTACATCTGCAATGCTTACCACCTCAGTTGGGATCTCGCTTTCTGGATTTGTAGTATTCTCATGCCCTGCTTACTCCTCGTAATCGCTTCGTACCGACTCCGTCCTGTGCAGCTTGCACGCTTCATTCACCTCCTTTCGTCCATATTCATCCTGGCCTACGCAGGCCTAGGTCTTATAGTACGCTACGAAGTTGTGGAACCTATGACACCAGTATTTCAACCTGCCCTCATTTGCATTATGTTGATTTTCGTCTCGTGCATGTTCATGCGACTCCGCTTCATTTACACCGTCGTGAGCATCAGTATTATCGTAGTGCTGTTTTTTGCGATTTACGCCCCGCATGTAGCGAATGATCCCGTATTATCCCCTTCGACTGCAAAGACCTATGTGATGTCGGTGCTCGCTTTGCTAGTCTCCGGAGTTGTCGCTAGCTTCAATACCTACGAGACTGAAGTTTTCAATCGAGCCCAGTTTTTGGCTTCGTACACATTGCAAAAGACGAATGCGAAGCTGACGAATCAGCTAAAAGTCCTACAAAAAGCCTACGGAAACAAAGTAGCAGATTTGGATTCGCCATTAGAAAAGAGTGTCATGTTATTGAGGAGCATGATGGCGGATCCTTCCAACAGCCCAGCTCATTTGGTCACCATTGGACAAATTCTTACCCTGCTGGCTTCTAGCAATTTACTGGCGCCCGACTTGGAGAACCAGGTTGGCGAGCTTTTGGACAACGAACAAGAGGTAGAGTGTCAAGCAACTCCCCCGCGTCTACCTGACCATTATTTCAAACTGACAGTGACATTGACACTTCTGGGAATTATTTGTTTCTTAGCAATGGCTGTTCACAGAGATTGCACCACGTCGAAAAACTCGCAATCGGTTGGCCAGTCGCCGTCGCTCTATTACTGCCGATATCTCGGCCAAGATTGACATGCCAATCGCAGAGTCGGTGTCCAACGCCAATATCATGGCCTCCTCCTCCCAATCAAACGCCAAAGGTCTTGACACCATTTCACGGGACACCGCCAGTGTAGAGCGTGTCAGCAGCGGAACAAACATGGAAAAGGCAGAGAGTGCCAATGCAATCGTGGAGAGGATCAAACAGAGTCGATCGAGTGTTGCATCTGCTGCTGAGCGGGAAAAGAGTTCCTCTTCACCGGTTCTTATAGCCCCCGCGGGAGCCTTTTTGCCAGTAAACGACGACTACTTCAATCCATCCCCAGAAGTAGCATTGCTGTTGGCCAAATCAACCGAGTTCAACTGGCCCATTTTTGACTTTTTGGATGCTACCAAAGGAAAACCACTGAGTGTGCTCAGCTTTTACCTCTTCAAGAGAGCCGATCTCTTCAGTGCGTTCAATATTCCGGTAGACATTTTCAGAAACTTTATTTCAGCAATTGAAAATGGGTACCGCACGGATTTGCCATGTAAGCATACAGAGTCGTGCTATAAGTTGTACGCAACCCTCATTCACCCTCATATTATCAGATCATAACTCGATTCACGCCAGTGACGTACTCCAATGCACCAACTATTTCCTTTTCAGCAACGATAACATATCTAAAGTTGCTGGCGATATCGACCTACTCTCTATATACGTGGCGGCGATCATACATGGTAATTAAAGCATCTCAGTATAAAACGCACACCACGAACACCTGCTGACTGCTCCTTCCCTTTCCCTCAGACCATGATCACCCAGGCTTTAATAATAATTTCCTTGTTAACACATACGACACTAAAGCTATCATGTACAATGACCGGTCGGTGCTGGAAAACCATCATTTGGCCTCTGCATTCTCGGTCATGAACAAGCCGGAGAACAATTTCCTATGCAATCTGAGCAAGAGCGACTTTAGGAGTGTCAGAGAGGCGATCATTGAGATGGTGCTGGCAACTGGTAGGTTGCTGGTATGTGTTTACTCTTTAGTTTCCGGCGCTCATCTGATTTTGATGGATTTCAGATCTCTCCCAACACTTTCCCCTGATTTCTATGTTCAAGTCAAAAGTCAGCTCCAATTTTGATCCATACGAAACCCGAGAAGACCGCATGCTTCTTTGGAAAATCCTTATTAAATGTGCCGATGTGTCAAATCCTACAAAATCATGGACACTGTACGAACGCTGGTGCCGACTCATCCTTGAGGAATTCTTCCGTCAAGGCGATCTTGAAAAGCGGATGGGTTTGCAAGTGTCGCCTTACATGGATCGTGACAATTTAAATATTCCGAGCAGCCAGAGCGGCTTTATCGAGTTTGTAGTGTTGCCACTATTCGAAGCCTATGATAAGTGGGCCCCCATACCTCCAATAATGGTGGAGTTGCAACGTAACAGGGAATTTTGGTATGTACTTGAATTGAAACAGCATGAATTTTCAGTTGAATAGCTCATTTGAATATCGCTGACACTCGTCTTTTTAGGATAATGCTTAAATCTCAAGGGGTAACTACAACCATACCCGCTTCTGGGCCGTCAGGATCTCTTCCAATGTTGGGAGTACCTCCGCAAACCGCGCCTCCACCCGCACAGCAGCTTCCTCCCCAGCCTCATGGAAATAACATACCCCCAGGTCCTCAGCAAGTATAAAAGAAAACGACGACCGCGTGTGAGACGAGCACTTTGAAGTGTGCTGAAGACAAGGGGAAGGCAATGGCCGCAATATATTTCTATGTATAGAGCTACCGGCTGGGACATTAGGATCCGGCTCTCCCTTTTTTTGTTCACGGCTACAAAAGATACCAGAAAGGACGCTGTACTAGTTTTGCATGACAAAAACTATTTACCTCGAGCTTGTTGGCGAGTCCTTGCAAATGTACCCCGGAACCATGCTCAACTTGCAGGCAAGCTTAACCACTTGACAGATAAAAATGATGGTTGCATAGAGAATGCTATCCTGGGATCGGTTGAATATATCCGACCAAAGTAAACTCAGTGCTCATGCAAAACCTGAATTTCAAAGGTGCCAAGAAAGCTTTACCCTTCAATGATTGACATTTACACCATTTATTTGAGACATTATAATACATTTTCCCACCGATCTCCCATGTAACATGTACAGCGAATATAAAAAGCCGAAATCACTCAATCTATGCTTATGCTAATCTGCACCTTTCCACTGTCATACTTTACTGTGGAATCACCGCGACTTTCTCGACGACGACAGGTTCCACAACGGGCACCGGTTCTATGACCGCGACAGTTTCCACTTTGGCTGCAGGAGTGCGCTGAGAATCAATAGACTTTTCGGCTTGCTTGGCTGCCCGATTGACTTGTTCTTCCACAGCGATGTCAGCCGCCTTCTCTTGAACGGCCTGCGCGGCGTCGCTTGTTTTCTCAGCTACGTATTGAGCGCCTTCGCTGGCCTTCACTTGTGTGTAACCGACAGCTTGGCTTGCCACCCCCTTCACTGTGCCGACGGCGACAGCGGCTGTGTCCACAACAGTGTGAGCAACAGTTTCTAGAGAGTGTTCAACCGTAGTAACAATAGACGCTGCTGTGTTGTATGCCGTAGATGCAACATTAACCACCTTTTCCTCTACAGCGTGAAGGGTTGAGGCGACAGTGTCGCGAGTTGCATTGTACGCTTGAGAAGCCTTGTCAGTTGCAAGGGTAATCGATTCTCGGGCAAGCGTCTCGGCGTTCTCGCCAACGCTTACAGCGGTATCCTTTGCATCGATTGCCTTGTCACGCCCAGCAGCGACAACGTTTTCTACTATGGTTGCGGCCTGTCCGAGGACGTTGGCAGCTGCATTGTAACCCTTCTTTTCGCCCTCGCCAACCTCGCGGGAGATGTTCGCAGCCGTGCTCCTTGCGCCTTCATAAACCTGACCTGCCTTCTCCTGAGCTACGTTTGCAGTTGTGGCAGCTGTGTTCTTTGCAGCCTCGTATGCTTGGCCAGTCTTTGCTGAAACGACATTGGCAGTGTTGATCGTCGTGTCTTTTGCAGCTTCGTACGCTCTCTCCCCGATCTGTTGCGCAGATCCGATGGCGTTGGCGGTGGTTTCCTGCGCCTTCGCAGACGCTTGGCTAGCAATGTCTCGTCCAGTCTCGTAAGTTTCAGTTGCCTTATTCTTTGCAATGTCGTATGTCTCCGCTGCCTTCTGTTGAGCCGCGTTTGCATAGGACTTGGCGACATCGGCAGTTTGAGCCGCGGTGTCAGCGACAGTCTCATAGGCTTTGTTTGCTGTTTCTTTTGTGACATCATAGGTTTCTGCGGCCTTGTCCTTTGCCACGTCGTAGGTCTCTCGCGCCTTTTGTTGGGCGGCAGTTCCGTACGATTTGGCAACGTCAGCAGTTTTGTTTGCGGTGTCAGCGGCGGTGTCGTATGCCTTATTGGCGGTGTTAGCGGCGGTTGCGTATGCCGTGTTCGCCGTATCTTTTGCTACTTCGTATGTTTCTGCGGCCTTGTCCTTTGCCACATCGTAAGTTTCTCGGGCCTTTTGTTGTGCAGCGTTTCCGTACGATTTGGCAACGTTTGCAGTCTGGTTCGCCGTTTCAGCCGCGGTGTCGTATGCCTTGTTTGCTGTGTCTTTTGCCACGTCGTATGTTTCTCCGGCTTTCCGTTGCGCTGCGTTTGCGTAAGATTTTGTAGCTTCTGCTGTTTTGTTTGCGGTGTCAGCAGCGGTGTCGTATGCCTTGTTCGCGGTATCTTTTGCTGCATCGTACGTGTCTGCGGCCTTGTCCTTTGCGACATCGTACGTCTCTCCGGCCTTTCGTTGGGCTACATCCGCGTAGGACTTTGTTTGATCGACAACTTCATTTCCAGCAGCCTTTGCCGCATTGTAAGATTCGGAAGCCTTCTTATCCGCATTGCTAGTTAGATTATTAACAGATCGCTTTGCTCGCAAGTACGCTTCTTCTGCCTGTGCTGCTGTATCGTTGGTTGCGGCACCGTCTGCCACATCTCGGCGATGAGAAGGAACTGCGCTTGGAGGAACGGCATGCAGCGGTACCGTATCATTGTAGATTGCAGCTCCTTGAGGAACTACGGGCGTGGCGATGACATGGACGGGCTTTCCGGTTTCTGCGGCGGCTTCCCGAGCAATGTGCGTTGCCTCCTTAAGTTTTCCAGAGGCATCGAGGTAACGGTTTTGCACGTTTTGATTGGCACTTTGCATTGTAGATGAGTTTGTTTGGTATCGGTTGGTGGTAGTTGTGTAAACTGTTGTGTTTGTGTTTGAGTGTGTTGAGAATTAATGGGTTGGGGAAGAGCAGAAGATGCATCCTTTTTATGTGTTTTCCTTGTAGCGAGGGAGGAATGATGTCAAGATGCGGCAACCGGAGCGGGAAACGGGATGCAAAAACGAAATACCTCATCGCCTCGCTTCGTTCTTCCTAAAGGGCCTTCGTCTTCACTTTGCTTGCGGGTGACGTCAGCGACCAGCAAGTTCGTTGGCTGTGCCACATACGCGAAGGACCGTGCCACCCCTGCCACAACTATCACATGCCTATGCGCGTTTCTGTCCTTTAATTCAAAGCGCGAAGGGCCCAGGGAGGAAGGAAGCCTTCAGTTTGCAATTTGCAGTTGCTGCCATCTAGACCTGTTCTATTGCCGATGTGCACCCGCCAACAGCGACTCAATGCATGTGCAAAGCGCGTAACTGAATCGGCCCGTCGGGGTTCAAACATCATGACGACATTGCCTCATTGTGAATATGGTCTTCATTGCGCGTTCGATGTCGTCTCCATTGCGTTAACCACGTAGATTGCATGTCATAGTTGGTAGAAATTGTCACTATACTGCATCCAACTACCTTCCCCCACGCTCAATTCTGATCAGGTATAGAATCCTATGCAAAAGTACTTCCCTATTCACGGCGCTACAATATTTGATCTGCGCTTGAGCAGCATTGTCCTGCAGATCGTGGCGCCTCTACCTACCTCGTATCAGGTACACACTACTCAGCCCACAATAGTGGTAGAATTTAGTTTGTTTGAAATACCCAAAAGCGATGTGTCAGCAACCAGGTGGGCAAGATTTAAACCACAAATATTGATGCATATCTGCAAATCGACAGTAGCTAACCAAAACATTAGCCAGAAGTTGCGTGGCCGATCACTCCACCACTGATCAATTGTTGGCCTTGGCAGACGCCTTGATGATACGGAGGAGGAGAATTGAGATTTGAAAGAGGTAAAGGAGCCCTTCATAAAAGAATCATAATGCTCAGTAACCTCCTTGGACCCGTCATACTCCTCATCCGTTTGTTTATGTTAATGTGATCAAGGGCGGTTATGCTGGTTGGCTGTGTGGATGCAATCAACCAAACGTTAATTAATTAACTTTTCACATGCCGAAAACGAACAGTTGAGAGTCACGTGATGCTTATGTCCACACAGGGGGCTCTGCGTGACCATCTCGCTTCCCCTTGCGTTTCCCCCCCCCCCCTCCCCCTGTCGTCGTCGCTGTCCTCGCCGTCGTCATTGCCCCCATCGTCGTCAAAGTCATTTTTGTGTGGAGAGCTCAATTGGCGTAGTTTTTTTGCTACGGGCAGTTGCTGTCGGCTATGCACGTATCCGCAAACGGCAATTGGAACTATACCAGAGAACGCTCCGCTGATTTTCAGCAACTAAATGACAGAAGCAACCACATACATGAACAACTCATCCTATCAACTGGGAACAGGTAACTTGTTCATTTTGCGCTCCGTGATCAAGTATAAGGATTCTCATTCAAATTGTAGATGAGACGTTCTTTTACGGTTTCGAAGACGGACTGGGTGCTCACTTACTGTCAGAATCTGAGCAAAAACAATTCGCCGACTTTCTAAATCAACTGAGTTCAGACTCAGCGTCAGCAGCTAGTGTATTGACATATCAACAGCTCCCGTCTGCAGCAAACTACTCGGGTGGTTCCTTTACAGATCCTTCCCTACCTCTTGCGCTCCCAACAGCCAACGCTACTCCTACGCCTGCCTTTCCTCAGCAGGTGTCCGCAGGTCGGTGGACAACACAGCCCATCCCCACACAGAACCTTGGACATTTTGCTCAGAATGGCCAATTGGTGTCAGCAGTTCCGTATCTCTCGAATGACCGAATGTCAATCGTAATTCCAACAAGCACTCCACAAGACCGTCAGTCGAAGCCCGCACACTTTCAGCGAAATCTCTCCCAGCATCACTCTCCATCCCCTCAGAAACCGACTCCGTCATCTGCAGTCAGTAGTTCATCCCACGCCATTTATTCGCAGGACGAGAATCCGCCATCATCATCAGCAAGACGGTTTTCTCACGTATCGTCAGGAGGATATCCAATACTTGATACTTCCCGACGAGTCTCTAGCGTTAGGTCGGGAACATTGTCGACGACTCCGAATCAAGGGATGCAGGTACCCTTCCATGCTTCGTCATCGGCTCCTGCTTCTTCTCTGCATCAAAATCATACAGCTGGACCGAAATCGGTTCATACGAGTTTCTCGTCGCAACATGTCCCTGGTCCTAGTCACAAACAAGAATCCCCTCACCCGAGACGGCATTCTACAGCGGAAGGGGAACATACCTTGGTGCAGCAACCTTCGTCGCAAACATTTCATTTACCGCAGGCTGGCCAATCAGAAGGTCCGTCACAAACAGCACCAGTCGTAAATCAGCGCTCACCGACAGGAGGGTCACAACTTTCCACACCCATTCCACCCTTCCCTCCCCCAGCCCGTAAGCGCAAAGCTTCCACGACCGTTGACGCTAGCTCAAAGGTGAACCCAAAGCGAAGAGCGTCAATCATCTCTCAAGGATCGTCAGGGAGTGCCTCGTCGCAAACTCCTGGCGGAACTGGGACCTTTATCGCAGTGGATCCGGGTAGTAGTGATGCCAAGACCAGAGCGGATGCAACTAATGCGAAAAAGTCGGGAAAACAGCTGTTGACAGAGGAAGAGAAACGCGCCAATCATATAGAGTCAGAAAAGAAGCGCAGACAAAATATTCGGACGGGCTTTGATCAGTTGGTCGAGATTGTTCCGACGCTGAGTCAATGCCACAGAAGTGAAGCGTTGATTTTGCAGAAAGGTGAGGAGTCTTGTGTTCGTAAGGAGTAATAATGTCGTCATCAATGCTGATGCTGGCATTGTTATCAGCTGTGGAATACGTTCAATACTTATTGAGACAGAAATCCGACCTTCAATCGCGGATTTCCCACATGCGGAACGTATTGGCAGAGCCGGATTATACCCAACCTTACCCGGCATCGCAATATGTTTCAGCGCAAGCATATGCAATTACGGCTGACGAGTCCTTGCATGGAGGAAGCGGAAGTGCGAGCGGATACGTATTAGGTGTTCCACCACCTACCGGAAATTATTCGAATTCTCAACCGCTTTATCCCATGCCAGTTCACGCAGTCTCGATGCAACCTTATCCAGCACATCCCAGCAGGCCACCCCCACCAGTTGCAGGCGGATGATCCAGGGCAAGCAAAGCACAATATCTGGTTGGCATCCACACCGCACGCAACTATACTTTTAATCGCGGTCTGCTGTTGTATGTAATATTTCTTGTGTATCTGAGTAGAATCCTTTGTTTTGTAATGCAATTTTGACACTCCTATCTCGTACAATGGAACCCACGAACATATGTTCAATGTCTATCGTACAAATCTAACCGTGCGAATAACCAGATACATGTACAGGACAGGCCAATTACGCGGCGACTACAGCAATCTCGTGCAAGTACTGACAAGAAAGTCATTAGTTTTGCATTCTATTGGCCATTAATCTCAAAACACTTACAGATGCCAAAAGTTTGATTCCCTCAATGTAGTTGGTCTTGTCAATTTTTTCGTTGATTGAGTGAGCGCCATCGTCAGCTCGACCCATAGGAAGCAAAAGAACCTGTAACACGGTGATTAAGACATGCTCCCTTCAGAGTCGACGTAATATACAGCAACGTTGCAATGAGCGCATACGTTTTTGTCCAAGGCTTCCTGGAATGTCAGAGTTACAGGGATCGATCCGCCTTCACGTGTCAAGTCCGGCTTGACTTTGAAAACATTTTCGATCGCCTTGTTCGCGGCAACTGGATGGAGAAATAGATGAGGTTCAATACACCAGAGTGCTGCGGGTATCGTAGCAACAAAAGAAACAAACCAAAGTTCCAGTGGTTTGGGTCTGCCACCCACGCCTTGCCGGCATGTCCACATTCAACCTTGATAGTATTCTTGCTTCCAAGCTTTTCAAACTCTTCTTTGATATATTTCTCAACCAGTTCGGTGATTTTGGCCGGATCCATATTGGGTACAGACCGGATGGAAAACTTGCCAATAACTTTTGCGGGAATGACTGTTTTAGCGCCAGGAGAATAGAAGGCACCTTCGATACCGTGCAGGGAAAGAGACGGGAATCGCCAGCGTGCCATAAGTGTTTCCTTTTCGGTGTTGAAAATGGTTACTTTAGAGTCCATTGCATTTTGGATATCTGAGAGGTTGAAGTCAAGGCTATCGTAAAGCTTATCCTCAGCCTCAGTGACGGGTGCCACGTCGTCATAAATCCCCGGAACGAGAATCTTTCCGTTGGGTGAAACGAGTTTGGACATGACATGGAAAAGATCTGTCATAGGTTCGTGCACGGTTCCGCCAAAGACACCAGAATGAAG